CGGCCCGCGGGGCCTGGGTGCGGCCCGCGGGCCGGAACACGGGCGTGCAGGTGTACAACAGCCGCACCGGGAGGAAGGACCCTCTGGTGGTGGCGCGCGCGGAGGCCGCCTCCTGGTGCGTGTGCGCGAGGCTGGCGGGGCGCGGGCCGCGGGGACTCCGCGCGTCGGGGACGGGGCTCTCCGCTGCTCCCAGCGGCTGGGCTGCCGCGGGCCGGAGTCTGACGGGGGCGCCGGAGGGCGCTCTTGAGGACAGCGGCGCTCGTGCACGGTCCATTCCTCCGAACGTGACCGCATGATGAGTGTCGCTGAGAATCGAGTGCCCTTCCTTGCAGATAGGTTTCACGTGACGGATTTTAACTCTGTTCCCAGGTATAGCTGTGGACCGACTGTGTACGATCACGCGCACCTTGGCCATGCTTGGTGAGTTCCTGGATTTCAGTTTTCACCCTTCAGGGGGTCATCTATTTTGGAAAGAGTAGGCTTTGTGCAGTTTTTATTTTCATCCCTCAAGCGGTAATTTAAGGATACCGAGTAATTACTCCATTCCTGGCCTTGTGGGAAGCGCCTGCGTTCCAGTCTCACTGGTTCTTGTGGCAGTTTTGAGCGCTTACGCCCATCTTGCACTGAGGAAACTCAGGGAGGGAAGGTTTGGAATTAGGTGTTTCCTGCTGGGTTTAGTGAGATCAGGAGGCCTTTCCAGGGGCCTTGGCATCCGGCTGGCTGGGACCCATTTCTGGTCCCCACCAATTTTAGCTTCCCAGCCATGTGTGTACAGGTCACTCTATTGCTTTTAATCCTGGTTTCCTCTTCTTTGAGATGGAGATGATCATAGTATCCGTCTTCTTGAGACTTCACAACAGTTCCATGAAGAAATGCCACAAAGTGCTGCTTACCACAGTGCCTGTGACCTGTCCTAGGGCTTACTAAGGATAAGTAACCTTCCCAAGGTTACACATCTAGGAAGTGTGTGAGCTGGGGCAAAGCTGGACGTACCTGACTGCCAAGTGCTTGCTCTCCTGACCTCTTAACCATGAGCTGTACTGCCTCCTACATTTGTCAGAATTACCACTTTTCCTCATGTTTTGTGTGTCCTCGTGTACATTTTTTAACTTGGTATTGTTCATAGACTAAAAGTAAAAGTTACGTTTACTCTGTACACTTAAAAAAAAATCATACAGCACCAAGCAAGATCTGAACCCTTTTTGTGTTTTGTTATAACAGAAAAAAGTGGTGTAGGATTCCTTTTTTTCCCTTTTACTTTGGACTTACTGTTAATTTTTAAAAGCATATTTTGACTTCTTTATTGAAAGTGTAAAATATGCTGGGGAAATATTAAAAACAGAATCTCCTCCCAACCCAGAAAACCTCTCTGCAAAGGTAGAAGAGAAAGAAAACAATTTTGTTATTGAATAAGCTTTAAACCAGAATGGGATGAGCTAAAGTGATTACAAAAGCAGAAAGAAATCTTAATCTTTTATGGAGCTTTGTGGATACAACCTGTGTTAGTCCATCTGGGCTCCTGTAACAAAATATCATAAACTGGGAGGCTTATAAACAACAAATGTATTTCTCATTGTTCTGAAGGCTGGGAAGTCCAAAATCAAGGTACTGGCAGGTTTGGTATCTGCTGAGAGCCCACTTGTTGGCTTAGATGGTATTTTCGCTTTTCTCTGTGTATTTAAGTAGTGGAAGGGTCGAGGGTCTCTCTGGGTACTCTTTTATAAGGGCACTAATCCCATTCATGAGCTCTCTGTCCCCATAACCTAATCACCCTCAATGGCCCCATCTCCTAATACCATCACCTTGGGGGTTAGGATTTCAACACATGAATTTGGGTGAAACAAGTATTCAGACCATAGCGCAACCCATTACTTTAAGTGGGTTTTGTTATTTGAAATCACATGACAAATTAGACCCGTCTCCTCCTAGGACACTGGGTAACGGGGTATTGTCTTCCTCTGTTATATATCAGAGATGGTTCCCAAGTCATGAAAATTTCCTGAGTTGTGAGACTGGCAAGAGGCTTATTTAACCATTTAAAAGAGTTACATAAGCTGTGGATTGATTGAATTGTGTCCCTCAAAGTTCATATATTAGAAGCTTAATCCTCACTGTAATTGCTGAGCGTGGGAAATCCGATTATGGTAATTGAAAGATGGGGCCTTGAAGAGGTGATTAAGTTGATGGTTTAGTGGTGGTTGTGGGCATGGTTCTGAGGGCTTTAAAAAGGAGAGCATGTGAGAATCTCTCTCTGCTCCACCATTTTCTGTCATGTAGAGACCCCTACATTATTGTAAAGCCACCACCAAAGAAGACCCTCACCAAGTGTGTTCCCTGGACTTTGGACTTCCCAGCCTCAGAAGCAATAAAATTTTATTTTCTTACAAATCACACAGTTACAGGTATTTTGTTATATGCAACAGAAACGTACTAAAATAGAAAATAGGACACTGTGTAATGGGGCATTATCTCTCTCGATTACATTTCAGAGATGGTTCCCAGGTCTTGAAAATTTCCCGAGTTATGAGACTGGCAAGATGCTTATTTAGCCATTTCAAAGATTTACATATATTCAAAAAAGACTAAGAAAGAAATTCTAAAAGACAAAGAGGGGGTGTCTTTTCTCTTATTTTCATCTAAGAGAATCAAGCATTACAGTTTTAACCTGTATTTGCCCTTACAAATGTAGAAAAGAGTCCAGGTCTTAAGTGCACAGCTGAATGAATGTTATAAGCTCTGTCCATGCCGAGCTTTCTGAGGGGCTGGCACGAGCTGGGACTCTCACCTGAACTGTCCTTTCAGCCCGGCCAGAAACCATGCAGGCCTTTGCTGGCCTGGACTGTCCCCGGCTTGCAGAGGCTTCCCTGCCCGCCTCTGCCCTGCTTCACACTCTCACAGTGTCATCCCTTTCCCATCCTTTCCACGGTTGTCTTAGTTCTGCAACTGCTTCAGTGGTTATTTGCCTAATAATTTAATTTCATCATTATGACTTAATTATTTCAGCTCTGGCAGGGCAGGGGTGAGCACAGCACCTGCTGCATAAGGGCAGAATTTGAAGAAAACTCACAGGATGGGTAGGGCTCAGTGCAGTAGAAAAAGACTCCCTGGGAAGTGGCCTCTAACTTTTAACAGGAGAGGTTGGCAAAGGGGCACGAATGCTATTTGCGGAAACCAAATCAGCCAGTTTGGTTCTAATAGGGGAGGAGTAGGGAAAAGGAGGGGTTGGTTGGGGCCAGATTGGCAAGGGGGCTGCGTTATCTGGCCTGAAGTGTTTGGCTTTTGTCTCATAGTAGATTGAGTGATATTGAAGTATTTTGAATGAAAACTGAGCTGTAAGAATAATCTTAGCAGTCATCCAGATGAGCACCATCTCCCGATCGTTTGGGAAAGTAGGGACCTAGAACAGAAAGAGCCTGGCTGACGGTCACACAAAGTTTACAGTGGAGTCACAGAGGAAGCTGATGCTGGGTTCGTCTGACTGGCTGCCTGGTACCTGTGGGGCTGGGTGTGTGGTATGGCCACTGTGGTCGCAGCCCCCTGCTGCCCCGCAGAGCCTCAAGTTGCCCAAGACCTGAAGCCCTGCCTGCCGAGCAGCCCCACGCTTCCCACCGCAGTCCTGGGACGCAGCCCGAGCTCCTCTGGGCCAAATATGTGACTCGACTCTTGTTTTCTTTTAAGTTCCTCTTAATCTTTTCCTTGAAATCTCATTTTTTGTAGAATCTTTCCCAACTCGAGATTGATTAAGGACATAGTGGTGATACTGGTAATACTAGTGTGTGTTTCCAGAATTAGTGCTGCACAGGCACTGAGATGATGCCCAGCATTCCTGTGAGTTAGTGGAGTTTCGCCTCATTTGTAAATAAGAAGACTGAGGCTTTAAGAGGTTAAATATCTTGGCGAGGAGTTTCAGAGATAGTCTTGTCACTAGAATTGAGATTTGGCCTCAGCTGTGTTTGGGGTGGGTACTTGTGGGAGTTAAAGTGACATAATGACATGGTTAGGATTATTTTTCCCCAGAGAAAATGATTTTATGAACTCAGATTTAGAGAGGCCACATGAATGACAGAGATGAGCATGAAACTAGCTGACCATGAATTTTAGCCTTGCTATTATGTGAAAATAGATGCATGAGATTTTAAATGTACTTTAAACCCTTTTGGTTTTAAAAGTCTGAGTTACCCCAGGGTAGTATATAAATAAGCTGGCATTTTAACGTTCCACTGTAGGGTATACATTCTTAGTAGTAATCTTATACAGCTTTGATAGGATCATACCTTTTTTTCTTTTTTGGGGGGGGGGGGGGGGCTGGCCAATACAAGGATTGAACTCTGGACTTGCTGTTTTCAGCTGTAGGGCCCATAAAACCCCAAAGGAGACATTCCCTAAAACATGGTGCCTTTCCGGCTTCTCTTCCGGGTCCTAACATTCCTGCCGGAGCCAAAGTATGGCCTATCAAAATCATCACCCGCCCTTCCAACCAATCAGCCACTGCCCCGCATACTAACCACCCTCTCCTTGAACTCAGCTCTCTATAAATGTATGCTTCACCCTCACAGCTGAGCTATCTGGCCAACCCCTTGTACCTGTCTTGATTTGTTATTATTTTCTTGTTTCTGTTTTGTTATAGTGAAAAATTAGATTTTTTCTAGAACATGAACAGAAATGGTAAAAGCTCTCGGTAGTTTAACCTCCCTAGTGATAACCCATGGTCAAAGGTTTGGGTTCGGATCCAAAACAGATAGACAAACAAAGCACAATCAGGTCTGCTGGGTATTGTATCATACTGTATTGTGAGTGAACTTTTACACAGTTAAATAGATGTAAACTCACTTAAACAACAGCTCTAAAATGAAGATGCTAATGTTATGTCCTGAAATTGACACATTACCTTTCTCATGGGGATCTGTGGGCAGGAAGATGGTGGGCAAGTCAGTAAAGGCTTTTCCTTTACTGGCTTCACTTGAACTGTCAATTATATTACACAGTTGAAGTTATATAACAGCATGTTACAATACAATACATTTAAAAGGTAATAATAATGATGACTTTGTGTACTAAAGACGTTCTAACATTTTTTTTTCTTTCAGCTCCTATGTTAGATTTGATATAATTCGCAGAATCCTAACTAAGGTTTTTGGATGCGACATAGTCATGGTGATGGGTATTACAGACGTGGATGATAAAATAATCAAAAGAGCCAATGAGGTAAGCATTGAAGATATACGTATATTGATAACTCAATTGATTATTGTTCTTACCCCACCTGACAGCTGTCTTATTTGTATCTTACAAGTAGTTCTCACATTTTATTATCCTTACCTGGCCCAGAGAGTGTAGTCAAATGAATGAGACAGTGACTGTCATCAGAGTAGGCGCGGCCATCCTGGTGAAGGGCGCTGAGGTGTGTTGAATTCTGCCTCATCCTGTGCTGCTGTCCTGGCCTGGACCTCCAGCCACTGCCCTGGACCGCTCAGCCTGCTGGGGCAGTAACGTGCTGTCTCTTTACCGCAGGAGTCCAGCCCCTGCTCCTTGTCCTTGGACATATTTGTATTTCTGCTAAGGATGCTTTTATTTCTGTGTTTCTTGATGGCTTCAAAAGTGCTTTTGTGCTGAGTCTCAGAGGAACCCTGTGTGCTAGGCAGAGCAGACCTGACTGTGCTGTTACTTTTGGATACAAACCCTGAACCCTTGACCTTGGTGTTATCAGCACAGTGCTCTTACCAAGTGAACTAACCAGCCAGCCCTTTATTGTACTTTTATAAAACATGTTTTATTTGAGATTTTAAAAAAAATTGGAAATAATTTCAATTTCACGGAAAAATTGCAAGAACAGTGCGAAGCACTCCTGCACCACTCTGCCTGCTCTCCTCGCTGCAGTCACGTTATCGTGCTCGCGCCGTCATCTGCTCTCTGTGCATAGACTTTTCCCAGCACGCTGCCTCATCCTCCCTACATATTCCATTGTGCATCTTCAGGAATGAGGACAGTCACCTCACCGCAGGGCACCTCCCGTCAGTACTGGGCATGGGTGCAACATGTTGGAATGGATAATGCAGCCACCGGCCTGCAGGCCAGCCAGGTGTTGCCCTCAGTCCCAGCTGCACCTCTTCTTCCTTTCCCGTCCAGGAGCTCTTCAGAATCCTGGGTCTCTGTTGTGTCTCCTCAGTCTGCAGCAGTTCCTACATCCTCACACTGTTCCTGTCTTGTGTACTTGACAGTCACAGAGATTATAAGACTTTCATTTCATACGGTGACCCTCAGCCTGCATCCATTGGGTGTTTTCCCATTTTACAGAAGAGTGTCGAAGGCTAAAGCCAGTCTCCAGGTGGCACAGACCTTCAGAGTAGGTGGATGGGATGTTAGGGCACCTCCCTGGGCTCCCCAGCTGGCTGGGGCCCAGCTGCCTGCACACTGCCCTGCCAGAGAGGCTCTGTGGGACCCTTTGCCTTTTGGTGAGGAGGTGTTTTCTAAGAAAAATTATACTAAGCAAATGTTGCTCTTTGCCCAACATCCTGTCTTGAGGTATCTCTCTCCACTGGTCGCTGTAAAGGCACTTTTTCTAATCACCATCCTCTCTGAGTGTTTTTGCACATTGTCATGATTCAGTGTTAGAGTGTAATACGCAAACAGTCTAATCACTTACATATCAGTCAGGATGACCGGCTTCATATTTCCTCTTCTTGAATCTGATGAAGGAATTTAAGTTCAGCTGACCTAATTTTGATGTGAACAGTTATCATTACATGCAGTCTTGTGATCCTTTGCCATTTAACACTGCTTTTTGTCAAACATTTATTATGGTGGGCATTTTCAAACACACGTGAAGCCGGGAGAATAACATAATGAGTCCCGTGTACCCATCACCCAGCATCAGCAGCTGGCAACATCCTGTGCCTGTTCTCATTGCTGTTTGTGGCCAGCACCTGTTGGGCATCCTGATAGGCAGCTCTCTGAAACATTCAAAGCACACTTTCTCATTTAGTTTTCCAATGTACTTTTTTGAAGCCTGGTTAATCAGAAGGCGTTTGTCATAAACTGTGTGTGCTGCTGTAGCAGAACACCAGAGACTGGGTAATTTGTAAAGAACAGAAGTGTGTTGGCTCACAGTTCTGGAGGCTGGGAAGCCCAGTGCCAAGGCACCGGCCCCTGCAAGGGCCTTCTGCTGCTTCATCCCATGGCGGGTGGGGAGGGGCTGAGAAGGGAAGGAAACCGTGGCAAGGCCCTTTTGCTAAGGCATTAAACCCACCCATGAGGGTGGAGCTCCCATGGCCTGATCACCTCCTAAATGCTTGCTTCTTAATACTTGGCAATTTGATTTCAGCTTGAGTTCTAGGGAGAATAGACATTCAAACTGTAGTGATGCTTTTTAAACAAATTGACTGGATTTCTTAAAAAGATACATATATATGCACACACACATACACATGTACACGAGGGTACTTCCAAAAGGTTGTGAAAAAATAGAATTAAAAAATAATACAGTATTCCATGAATTTTTTGAAGTGTGTGTGTACATATGTGCATTTTAAGTCAGTGAGGTTTGAATCACTGCATTTGTCTGTTCCTGTGGCTTCCCTTCCTCCTTCCATCCTCTCAGCACACCCTGCCTGTCTGAAAGGAGGTTTAACTTTGTCATTGTCAAATCAACAGGTTGGTTCAGGGAATAGTGTGAGAAGTCCTTGGAGAAAATTCTATCTGAGGGAACTGTCTTCCTATCTTCTACTGATTTGTCTTTTTAATAACTAGATAGCATCCCATTGTGTATGGCTATTGAGCAGTTCACGTAGCTGCTCCCTGATTGTTGACTATTTGTATTGTTTCTAGCTGTTAAAAACAGTGTTGCTGTATACATATTTCCCGAAGTGGAACTACTAGGTCAAAGGAGGGGAAGGGTTTATTTTATAAGTCTCATCACTTTTCTTAAAGTCAGATTGTTGAGAGAAATTATTGGCAGTGCAGAGTGTTGGTTCCAGCTTAAATGTATTTCCTCACATCCTGAACCCTAGCAGTGGAGTGTGGGGTACTAAATAGCAAGCTGACAAAGTCCTTGCTATTCTAGGGAAGCCAGCAAGGCTGGCATCCCTTTTGCCTACTTTCCCCTTCTCCCTCCCCTCGAGGTCTGACCTTTGATTGAACCCAGGACCCTGGAAGCTTTGTAAATGAGAAACTTATGTTCTTATTTTGTTGATAAGTAGTTAGCTATGAACCTTCAGGTCCCATGGCAGCTGAAAATGTTCTATAAATAGCTTGGTACCAGACATAACTGATTTAATCAGTACGATTTGTTATTTTCACTGGCTTATAAAAAGGAACTTAAAATAAACTAGGATGCCTTACAGGTCAGCATCCTGTAAGGTCCTCCTGACCCCATAAAGTGTGTCTCTTCATTTCCCACCATCTCCCCTTCGGTACTGGTCGACAACAGTGGAGGGTCTGGTGGGCTGGATGTAGAAGGCAGTGGCCTGTGTCTGGGGTTGAGAGTGAGTGCAGGGCCACATGGAGGGAGCTGGTATTTGGAAATGCAGCCTGGGGTAGAGGCATGGGAAGTCTAGCACTTTGATCTGCCAGTAGGCAGCTGGCAAATTCAGGCCTTTTGTGGATCTTCAGCATCGGAGGTGGCAAAGTGGGTCCCAGCGTCCTGGTGGCAGGCAGCCAGCGGAGGCCAAGAGGCTAGGCGAACTCTGGGGGCCCAGTGGGAAAGAAAAGGAGGCCTTGGGGAGAGAGGCAGGAACTGGGGTACCAGGAGGATGTCTTGGAGGAGACAAGAGGAGAAGGGGTAGGAGCATGGCCATCAGAGAAGTGGAGGAAGAACCAGGGTCCAAGAGGAGAGAACTTGAGGAGCGAGGAGGCAGCCAGCCCTGGGGACACAGGGAGGTGAGGTATTATTTCACGGATGCCCTGGCTATCGACTTTTTTAAATGCTGTAATGGTTAGAATATGAAAAAGATCCTGACGTGGTATTGAGTAGCTTCTGTTCTCAACATAGTGTCTTACTTCAATATGATATGGCATGTATGTGAAAACCATAGTTATGAAGACGTCTGTTCTTTAGTATTTAGCAAAAAAGCTATTTTTATCTAATATAAGCTTTTTTTTGAAGGTAGGATTAAAATTTTTTTTGCCATTTTTTATAACATAAAATGTACCACTTAACCATTTTTCAGTGTGCACTTCATCAGCATTAAGCACATTCACACTGTTGTGTAGCCATCACCACCATCCATCTCCAGAACATTTTTATTGTCCAAACTCAAGCTCTGCCCCCATCGAACACTCACTCCCCATGTGCCCACACCCCCGCCACACACAATTCTACTTTCTGTCTCTGGATCTGAAGACTCGAGGTACCTCATATAAGTGGAATCCTGCAGGATTTGTCCTCTTTCACATAGCGTAATTTCTCCAAGGTCCATCCACACTGTAGCATGTGTCAGAATTTCATGAGCTGAGTAATATCTCACTGTACAGAGAGACCATGTTTTCATAATCCATTCTTGCATCCGTGTACATTTGGGTTGCTTCTAATGCGGGCTTTTTTAATGATGGTGATATGTTTCATGCCATCTGCTCCAAGACTTGTTTTTAAAATATTTGAAATTATAATATTACACTTCCTGAATCGCTCCCTTAACTTTAATTTTTGGCACAATTTTATACTTTGTCAGAGATAAAAACCACAGGAGTTTTTAACAAGTCTGGGGTAGGAATTAAAAGAGGTGTGATATATTTGCATAGTGACATTTTATGTTAAGACAAATGATAATCAATGTCTCAGAGTGATTCCAGCCAAAGTTCCTCTTTCTGTGCCTCAGGACACAGGCCTGCATTGTCTTGGCTTTCTGGGAACAAGGTGGAAAGTTCAGGAAACCTTGGACACTCAGTCTGAGTACTGAGGGCCTGGCCCAGTGGGGTTCCCTACTGGGCAGAGAGCTAATGTGAAAGGATTTACAGTAATGAGGGGGACCTAGAATATAATCTGAAATAATGAGGACCAGGCATGCATTCTAGCACCTATCTCCTATGGTTTGTTCTATGCAAATGAGAGAGAACGGTTCTGTCCCAATACGTGGTAAGGTCTCTGCTTAAAAATTAAATTTAGTAATTTGACTTTCAGAGTGTGATTTCCCTCTCCCAACACCAGCAGCAGTAGATTGGTGTCCATCTACAGTTCATGGTCTTTCATGCTGTCTGTGGACAACAGTGCTGCTGTTTGAGCCAGAAAAGCCAGAGTAGAAGAGGGAGAGTTATTTGTTTGGGGAATGTTACACTTGGTGAGCGATTTAAAAGTGTGTGTGTGTGTGTGTGTGTGTGTGTGTGTTCATATGTATGAAGGTACTTCAAAAAACTCAAGAAGTTCATGGAAAGATTCGCGTTATCCTTAATTCAGTTATTCTACGAACTTTTTGAAGTACCCTCGTATGTATGATTATTCCCTCCAGAACTAGATAAATTAATTCTAAAGTTCATAGAGAACAGCAAAAAAAGCAAGAATAGGAAAAGTCTGTAAAAGAAGAATATTAAAGAGGGCGTAGTGACGCACTGCTTGTGACGCACTGGCCACAGTGTTTTCCTTCTGGGAGGGAAGCTGCTTCCAGCACCAATTTATGTCAGTTGGATTCTCCTGGGAATGAATTACCTGTGCAGAAAAATAAAGATGGATAAACAAAAGCAACCTGCTGATCTTCAGGTCCAAAATGGTATAGTATTTGAAACTTCCAAAGTGGCAAGAAGACGTTGCATTTTTAGACTTTTTTGTTTTGTCTTTTGTCCTCTGGATAGATGTAAGTTAACTGATTTCTTTTTTAAAAGATCTGTTTTCCTACAAAGCTATACCCCAGGAAGGGGACTGATATGTATTGAAGCACCAGCTAGCTGCTATGTCTTTTATCTCTTGAACAGTGATATTCATGTAGCATCTTCCTTTTACAAAGTTGTCTTGCTGGTATATGCGTTGAATCTTCATAGCTGTCGAAGAGGGATTATTAGGTGGTATCATCTCCACATTGCAAGGAAACCGAAGGCTGAAAGGTTTAGTTTGTTGATTTGCCCAAGACCACAAAGCTAAAAAGACACCTGAGTAGCAACGAGTCATTCACCAGATTTCTCTTCAGTGAGCATTCGTTGGTCGTGGTTTCTGGGGTGACTGTACCATCTTAGTGCCCAGGGCCAGGAGGAATGTGGGCCTCAGGTGCATGGTTGGCCAACCAGTCCCACGTTTGGCATTTTTCTTGAGAAAGCTTCTTAATATTCTGGAGAGGAACTTCGCCCGTTAAATGGGAGACCTGTTTCACAGGGTTGCATGTAGTGCAGGTGGGAAGGGAGCGTGGCACACGGTAGGTGCTTTGTACATGCTGGCTGAATCGTGTGGCTTGTGGGTGGCTTGTGGAAGGTCACCGAGGATGAAACCTGGTTCCGTTTCAGAGCTTTTCCATGTATTGTGCATCTGTTCACAGCGGGATTTCTGTTGGATAGTAGTAAATCACACAAATGAGCCTAGTTTTGTGTCCTGTGTCCTTTGAGAAGCAGCAGAGCTGTACATATGTGTCCCCATGTGCACCTGTGTTCAGAATTTGTCCTGCTTTGGGTCTTACCCATCTCCAGAAGCCCAGCCAAGGGACCTGAGGGATTTAATACCCCATTAAATTTGTTGTTTCAGGGTGTTAAATTACTTTCAAAATTTTTCTTTAGAGATTGCCTTTTTAATGTATTTTTGACTTTTTTTTTCCTCGTGAGGGGTAAGGGATAAGATAGAAACTCAAGTTTCCTGTTATTATGCAGACTAGATTGATTTTGCCATGGTCTAGAAAAGTGGAGGTGTTTTGGTTTGTTTTTTATTATGTAATGGATATCATGACTATTTCTTCCTTGTTTCTGTCTCACTAGAAAACAAGGTTAATAATCTTTTTCAAGGAGCTAAGCTGCTGCTGTAATTTTAAGACCTAAAGTTAATGCCCCGTCCAGGAGGGGCAGTGGGGCACTGAGGCTCCACACCGTCTGCGGAGATGCCGGGAGAAGTGGGGGTGCCCCGGGCATCGTGCTGTGGCCGCTGCTTCTGCGAGGTTCTGCTGTGCATACTGCAGACTTAGGAGTGTGCTTGTCTTCTCCTCTGCAGATGAGTATTTCACCCGCTTCTCTCGCCAGTCTGTATGAGGAAGATTTTAAGCAAGACATGGCAGCCTTGAAGGTAAGCGTGTGGCCGGTTTTCTTGCCACAAGGATGACAAACTTGATCCTTGAAGGCCATGGCTTGGGAATGATGGAAGCAGTCGCGTCTCCTCCGCTTTCTTCCAGGTCCTCCCACCCACCGTGTACGTGAGGGTAACTGAAAATATTCCTCGGATCATTTCTTTCATTGAAGGAATCATTGCTCGAGGGCATGCGTATTCAACAGCAAAAGGTAGGGTTTCCGTCCTTGAGACTGATCATTGGGTGGCACTGATGGGGCTTTGAGAAACTGGACGTGTATTTATGAGTTCTTGGAATGTGCCGAATGTTTTACTGTTTTGATGTGGTTCCTGCAGCAAAAAATGTTGTGGGGTTTTCTAAAGTAGGTGTCTCTGCATAACTTGAGTCAGTTCTTTCTAAAAATATGTTCGGCAGTCACAGGAAGTGGTGGACACCTGGAGAGCTCGTTGGGTAGCAGTCGTGGCCTCTCGGTGGAGGGTGTGCAGGTGTTCATGGCAGTCATCTTCCAGCTCTGTTTAGAAGTTTTCCTAAGAAAAAGCTGGGGGCAGAAGCAGGACCTCTGGAGACCCACTGCCTTCTTGTTAGAGGTCAGCTCCGGTCGTTCATCCCTGTGTGGGCGCGTCCTTCTTCATTAAGTTACTGCCGTTCTAACGTGTGAGTCCCTCAACATGTCCCGTGCATTTCTGACCAAAAGGAACCCATGTCATTATTAGACCAAAGACAACTGATAATTCCCTAATAGTACCTCATGTTCCCCCCCTGTTAAATTTACCTGGTTGTCCTCCTAATTTCTTTTCTGGCTGAACCCTTCCCCCATCATAATCTAATCAAGGGTTTTTGTTGTGCGTGGTTATGTCTCTTTAGGCTCTTTTAATCTACAACAGTCTCCTCACTTTTTCCTCTCGTGGACTTTTTCAAGAGACCAGCTGGGTCAGCTTTGTTGGTTTGAAGGGGCTTCTCTTTGCCTGGTGGCCCCCAGGTGAGGCTGGCATCCTGGCTTTTTGTTCCTTCTGTGACTGAGTCTTGAATTCAGTGGTACCACCCCCTGTCCAGTCTTTCTTTCTAAATCTAAATCCATCCTAAGTATCCTGCAAACCCTAACCAAAAACTGCTCTTTCCCATGAGGTTTTCTTTCCCAGCCATAGCGGAAGTGAACTTTCTCAGTTTCGATGTCTGTACTATACCAGTTGGCAGCCAATTCTGTGCCGCCTCCGCCTGATAGTTCGTGTGTTCATATTTTGCCCTATCTAGATTGCAAATTCTCAGGCTATAAAAACCCTTTGCTTTTATTGAATAACTTTTAGAGAACCCAGCCCAGGGCTGCAGATATGCAGGTACTTAAATGCTTGTTGCAAAGTAGAAAGCACTCTGCTGACACTGTCCACAGCTTCCAAGTGCCTTCCCCCGGGTCCTCCCGAGAGCTCCGGGAGAATACGATGTGCCCTCCCTCTGTGGCCTGTGCAGATGGAAGTGCTGCTTTTTTGCTTTACCTGATTTGGTAGATCTAGATTTTGTTTCAAGGAAAACTTTTTTTAAAGGGCTTAGGTGACTGAACTGGAGTTTACTCCAGAAAACACAGGGATTATTTTCCTGCCATCGTGTAACTTGAAATGAGACCTGCAAGCGTGCACTTCCGCTTTAGAAAATAAACTCATGAGGTGTTTTGGGGTTTTCTCACTTTAACATGCATTGCAAATGAGTGCTGTTTGTTTCATTGTTTTATTACTATGTTTTATTGTAAATTTGTAGTGATAATATAAGTATAATTAATTCAAAATATCCTTACATTCACTCAAACTCCGGAAATTTGGACTTTGTGATGGCTCCACAAGGGCTTGGCTGATCATTTGATCTTTGAACTATTTGTGAAAAACAATTTGTTCAGCAAATTGATGATGTAAAGTCTAGGGACAGTGTTTCCTGTGTGAGGGGGCAGCTCCTCTCTTCTGCTGAAGCATTTTAGGGTGCTCTTGCATCCTGACTTCATGGAAAGCAGCCCTTCAGGCAGTGAGGGGCTCTTCTGCTTTCTCTGGGCCATTCCCAGCACCTAACTCCAGCTCAGTAACTAACTCCCAGTGACCAGGAAGGACACCGCAGGGTTTAGGTCAGGTACTGGTCAGCTGGTTCGCTCTGTCTGTTTTCCTCCCACCAGTGGCTGTGGTGCTGGAGAAGCCCGAACGATCCCAAACGAGCGAAGGCCACTGCAGGTGCGTGGGTGCTGCCTGTGTTGGCCGGTCACAAAGCTTCCTTGTTCTTAAAATAGCCTGTTTTCAGGACCAGTGTTCCCAGTAGGGATGGTATAGACACGAATTAGTAACTGCATTCGTAAAAAGAATGTGAAGGTTAAAAATCAATGACTTGTAAAGGTTAAAAATCACACCCCTGCTTGGGCTGTAGTGATGCCTGAGTTAAACGTGGTTGGTGGGGCCCGTTTGGGAATGCAGATCTGTTGTGATGTTGATAATGGCTCGAATCCTCAGCAGCTGGGGGCTGTGGCCCCAGGGGAGCAGGGGTTGTTCTTCTCAATAGTGTCCTCCTCAGCTCAACAGAACTGCCTTAACTTAATAACCAGAGTGGCCAGGGTCAGCCCAGCTTTGTGTGGTCTCTGGGAGACTGTCTCTGACCTTTTGAAAACGTGGACCAAGAGATCTCAGCAAAAGAACAGCCTCTGAGTGCATCCAGTGTGCAGATGCTGGTTTTAATCTAAGTGAAAAGGTAGTCTCAGAAGATACCTGGATTAAGAAATAGTGTCTTTGTTAATTGGTGTGTAACATAAAGCCCAAGAGCTGAATAAGGGTCGGTGATAGCACTTGTTTTTCTCTTTTTCTGATTAAAAAGAATTGTCTCAATATTTTACAAAGAACTTACGTGTGTGTTTTCACATTGGTATGTTCCTGATGTGCCCAAATGCATACTTCTATAATATGTATGTATTGTTGCTGCTTTTAATTCCTGCTTAAAAGCATAGTAAAAGGGGCCACATGAAGGCCAAATGCCATGTTCTGCATTTAAATTCTAATTTCTTCTTAGATGCTAAGCTTGTACAGGTGCTGGTGTTTCAGACTGAGAGGTGATGAATTCATAATTCCCTTTGTGAAACAGGCAATGTCTACTTCGACCTGCAGTCTAGAGGAGACGAGTACGGCAGGCTGGTCGGCGTGGTCCCAGGTCCAGCTGGAGAGCCAGGTGGGTTGACCCAGCCCGGCCCCATGGCCCGAACCTCTGCCTGGCATCCCAGATTCCAGGGTCGGGACCCCCGCTCGCTCAGACAGTGGCCATCTGCTGATCTTAGCCATGTTTTAAATTTAATTTGTTTTCTTTGACATGACAAAACCTGTGGAGCATAAATCTTGAACAGAAGTGAAACGTCTTCCTGTCCCACCCCGCCCCTTCTGTTCCGGCCTCCTCCCTGCTCCCCAGTCTCCTGGTTTCTTCCCGGGTGTTCTTTGAGTGTGGGAACATGCATACAGGCGGGATCATACTAACACTCTTCTAGGTCTTGGTGTTGTATTAAATGCACATACATATGTTATCATATATAAATATGTAGAGCTAAATTAAAAGTAATTTTAGAAGGATACTATTTGTCTTCAGGGTTTTGTCTTTTCCAGAAAGTCATGTAGTTGGAATCATACAGTACGTAGCCTTTTCAGATTGGCTTCTTCCACCTACTAATAGGCATTCGAGGTTCCTCCATGTCTTTCTGTGGCTTGACAGCTCATGTCTTTTTAGCACTGAATAAAATTCCATTGTCTGGATGCTCCCTCAGCTTGTTTATTCATTCACGCACTGAAGGACGTCTTGGCTGCTTCCAGGTTTCAGCAGTTATGAATAAAACTGCTGTTAACATCCATGTGCAAGTTTTTGTGTGGATGTAAATTTCCAACGCCTTTGAGTAGATTCCAAGGAGTGTGATTGCTGGATCATACAGTTAAAGTGTTTAGTTTTGTAAGAACCACCAAACTGTCCTCCCCAGTAGCTACACGGTTCAGCATCCCTGCTGTAGTGAACCAGAGCTCTTGTCGCTCCGTATCCTTGCAGCAATACTTTTTAAAATTAGAATTATTTTCATATTCAAAAGCAACATATAAGGGCTGGCCTGTGGCTCACTCGGGAGAGTGCGGTGCTGATAACACCAAGGCCACGGGTTCGGATCCCATATAGGGATGGCCGGTTGCTCACTGGGTGAGCGTGGTGATGACAACACCAAGTCAAGGGCTAAGATCCCCTTACCGGTCATCTTTTTAAAAAAAAAAAAAAAAAGCAACATATAAATAATGGTACAAAATTAGGAAATATAATTCTGCAAAACAAAGATAATAAAAACCACTCATTCTTACACACAATGAAAAAATGTGATGCCTTGGTATATTATTTTAGAAGCAATAGTGTTTTTTTTTAAAACTTTAAAAATTGTTGTAAAAACCCAACAACCAAAATGACATAAGAAATGCCAGATCAGTGAATTTTGTCAGGTGGAGCCCCTGTGGTGAGCCCCAGCAAGAGGAGACAGTGGCAGTGGGCCCCCTGCCCCAGCCCAGCCGCCAACCCTCCCACCAGTCCCTGGGAGCGACCAGTGTCCCCATGGTCACAAGTTCACCTCTCTGAGCCATGTTACTACCCAAATGTGTGTCCCCAAATGTAGTTTAGCCTTCACTGGTTTATGTTTTTATGTCGTCTAGAATGCTTTTAATCTGTATGTTTGTGCCCCACTCTCTTTCCTTGCAATTCACTTCATGTCTCAGAGTTTTCTCAGTTGGCATTTTGCTGATTCTGGGCTTGTGATGGTATATACCACTCTCCTCTGTCCTCGGTGTTTTTGCAAAGTGGACATTTAATCTAGAGGCTTTGTCAGTTCTGAGTTTCTGGGGAAGGCTGCTTCACAGATGGCCTGTCTCTGTATAGCAGAGCTTGCTGTTCTAGGCTCAGGTCCGTGATGCAAGAGTGGCTGTGCAAGGATGGCATCCTGGTCCTGTCCTTTCTTCTCTGCTTTTCCATGGGAGTGCTTCTGTGTAGGCAGATGGTCATGTGGTTGCCCAGGGGTGTGGTTTGTATAGGAGAGACAGGACAAATGCTCTGGACTTTTCTTTATGTATCAACTTTCAAAATAAAGACTTAGTCTCCAGATCATCCTCTGGAGGTGGCCATCGGGTTTTTTTTCCCCATACTTAGGAGCTGGTGGACTTAAACACATGTGCTGTGTCTCAGTTTGTTGCCACTGCTGTCCTCACTGGTCCTCGAGTTGTCCCCCTTTCTCCAGGGGAGAATCTTTAGGTTGGCTCCAGTCCTCTGAGCAAGCCCTGCTCTGTTCTGCAGTTTTCTCCCACCATTTGATATGGCCAAAGTCTTGGAGTAAGCCATTTCTCCCAGAAGCCCTGCTTTTCTTTTGGTGGGAAAGGGTATTTCAAGGACACACTGTGGGCACTGAGGATGGTCCTTCCTGCAGTTAGTCACTGTTGCCATCAGTCACTGTTCTGCAGGCCTTTTCAGTGGACAGAGGAACTAAGTAAACATACATGCATCTCTGTGTAAGATAAGATGCTACATCAGGTCATACTGATTATCACATTCAGGCCTGCACGTTCACCTACCTGCTTCTGTCTCACATTTGCAGCTCACTTTCCCCAAGGGGCGAGTCCTGGTCTTTAGGGACACAGATGTGATCGGGTATCCAGTGGACACCCGTGTGCTTTTTCCCACACCCCCGTCCTGCAGCCCCTTCACGAGGGCTGACATAGTTCGAAGTTTCCTTTGTACATGCCGTCCCCTCTTCCTGTGCTGTGAGCATGGTTCCCTGCGTCCGCCCGTAGAACATCCTCCACCCATGGTGCTGCCCTGCACACCCCGTCCAGCCTCCGCTCTCGCCGGTGCCCGTGTCCACTGCTCCCTGACCGTTTATTTCCTGCAGCTCATTCCCCCGCAGTTTCTGAAGCAAGAACCCTTTCTTGGGAACAATATTCCCTGAACTTTTGCCCTTTATAACAGTGCTCTGCCTTTTTACTTGAAAGTCAGTTTGGCTGGATATAAAATCCTTGGCTCCAGTTTTTTGTCCTTATGTATCTTAATCACCCCATTTTCTCCCAGCATAAGGCATTGTTATTAAAATGTGACAGTTCTCTAATATTTCATGTGTTATGCATGAACTGTTCCATTTGCTTGGCTGTCCAGAGACTTATTTAATTTTTCTTTAAAGTCCAGTTATTTCACTAGTCATGAAAACATGCCCTGTACAGCCCAGCCCAGGAAAGGTATCAGCATCTGCACCAGGGACATTCAACATCTTTAATAATCAGAGTTTGAGGAAATGCTGGCATCAGTGCCCACAGGCGGAGGGTGTCTGGGGCCTTGCACACATGGAGTCCACCTGCCCTGGTCAGACTGTGCAGTGGATCTTGCTGAGCACAGATCAGTCACCTGGCCCTGTTCACCTGGCCCAACCGGGCAGCCGCCCTGCAGACCTTCCTTTTCAAGGGAATTGACCTCCATTGAGACTATTCAAAGGCTGTTTCCACAAAGGAGCTCCAAAAGTGTGTTGAGGAAGCCCAGGAGAAGCTGGTCACCTTGTCCAGGCAGCCCTGCAGGGCAGCTGCTGCTGCATGTCTGCATTCTAATCTGGCACGCAGGAAAGGGACCGTTTACGAATGTGGAAAATAAGGTGTGCTTTAGGGAATGGCGGTTTTACTGTAGAGCATACTCATATTGGGGTGTGTTCCTTTTCACACCAAGCAGTCTCATGTGGCCTCTGTCCAGGCGGTCCTGTTCCTGCAGCATGGCTAGCTGTCCTCTTCTCTGCTCACCTGCTGGATTCCTGTCCGTTCCTGCTGACCCCGCCTGTACTAACTGTGCGAAGCTGGGCCGTGGCATCTCCCTCCCTTGGCGGGTCATGCGCTGTGTTCACTCTGTGCTGGCGCTTCTCTCGTGCACTTTCTGGGCTGCGTGTCATGCTTGGTACGTGTAAGAGCGTTCAAGCTGACCTGCAGGTCCTCCTTCCTGTTGCTGTGTGCACTGTTTGTAAGCAGCGACAGCCTCATGACAGCCAGTGGTGTTGGGGTGGATATTAACATCCAGCACTTAGTCGAGGACCAAGGTTATCTGTAGGATTTGCTAAAATGGGGCAGGGAGCCCTTTAAAGATCAGGTGTAATACATTCTGAGAGTTCTACGAGGGCCTCAGTTTTCTTCATTCTGGAACAGGGAGAGCCTGGTATTGTCTCATTGCATAACTGTGAACACGTCGTTTAATCTTCCTCTTCTGAGTTTTCTTCTCCAGGAGTGTGACTGATACTCTTTGGTAATTTCCTTTTCACTCTATATGATTGCTATCTTTTTTGGGAAAAATTTCTCTGAAACTTGGTTACTGCTAAGTGGAGCTCTCTCCTAAGACAGATTAGAACAACTGAGAAGGCTCAGTGCAGGGTACCCCTTGGAAAACAGCATCACTCTGTACTTGAAATCCTGCCCCTTCCGTCCCGCTGGCCTCCCTGCACATGGACCTCATGCTCTGGCATCTTTGGGATGAACGTATCTGGTAGTCCTTCTGTCCGTCACGCAGGGAAAGAAAACTGTGCTAATGAGAAAACGTGAGGTTACTCACCAGAAGGACAGTCTTGGGGGTGTGCTTCCTGCATCATGGTTTGCAACAGTCTGTGGGTTTGACTGCTTTAGATCCCCTGCTGATTAACCGTTTGTTCTTGGCAGCTGATTCTGACAAACGACATGCCAGCGACTTTGCCCTGTGGAAGGCAGCCAAGCCTCGGGAGGTGTTTTGGGCCTCTCCCTGGGGAAACGGAAGGCCCGGCTGGCACATCGAGTGCTCTGCCATCGCAAGGTAAGGCTTGTTGGAGTCCTTGTGTGTTCTGTGCGGATGGATGCTCAGGCAGTGCCTGGTTTGGTCATCAGAAGACATGAGCAGGTTTGGTCGGGACACTGACACCCCCAAAGCAGGTTGTTTGGCAAGAGATTCCACTGGACTGTGACCAGCTGTGCAAATGGAAATGACCACACCCAGGACACGTTTAGCTCCCCGCACACCAGTGCAGAGTTGGGGGCACCAGGGGCATACCAAAGGCAGCATTACCATATATGCTCCTCTGTCCTCTTTTTTCACTTAACAGTATAACCTGAGAATTACTATCTGAGGGGACTTCAAAAAGTTTGTGGAAAAATAGAAAAGATAAAAATAAAAAATATAAACTTTATTTCTCAACATTAGTTTCATCAAGTTCAAGATGCTTTCATAAGTGATGATACCAGCCATTTAGCCCATCCCTAAGAACTGAGGGTCCTGGGAATTTAACCATGTCAGTGTAGTCTTTTTTATGTTATTAACTGAAGAAAAATGGGTGTCTTTTAAGAAAAAGAAGTCAGAATGAGCCAAATCAGGACTGTAAGGTGGATGCCTAATGATGTGCCATCAAAACTCTCCCAGTTGCCCTTGTCTGATGAGAGGAACAAGCAGGAGCCTGGTTGTGGTGGAGCAGGGCTCTGGGGAAGCTGTCCCTGAGTGTTTTTCTGCTAAAGCTTTAGCTTACATTCTCAAAACACTCATAATAAGCAGATGTTACCATTCTTTAGCCCTCTGAAATGCCTTGAACATCCCCAAAAAGTTACGACCTTTGCTCTTGACTGGTCCACTCTTGCTCTGACTGGACCACTTGCACCTCTTGGTAGCCGTGTCTTTGATTGTGCTTTGTCTTCAGGATTGTACTGGTAAAGCCATGCTTCACGTCCTCTTACAGTACTTCAAAGAATTGCTTCAGATCTTGATCCCACCTGTTTAAAATTTTCACCGAAAGCTCTGCTCTTGTCTGCAGCTGATCTGGGAGCAACAGTTTTGGCACCCATCAAGTAGAAGGTTTGCTCAACTTTTTTTTTTTTTTTTTTTTTCCTTTTTGTCTTTTTTTTTGTGTCCGGCAACGGATCGCAACCCTCAGTGTAGCGCCCGTACCGGACCGGGACCGGCAACGGGATCGCAACCCTCGGTGTTGTGCCCGCACCTCGCTCAGCCAGTGAGCGGAACCGGTCTGTATGTGGGATCCGAATCCTCGGCGGGAGCACCGCTGCGCTCCCAAGCGGCGCACTGTAGCAGTGCGCCACCAGGCCGGCCCAGGTTTGCTCAGCTTTATTTGTCAGTCAGAATTGTGTGAACTGAACCCACTGAAATGTCTGGTGTTGACCATTGTTTCTACTGTTAATCATTTGTCCTCTTCAATTAGGGCACAAACAAGATTATTGTTTTTCCTCACAAATTGATGTGGGTGGTCTGCCGCTGCAGGCTTCACCTTCAACATCGTCCCGTCCCTTCTTAAAACAAGTCATCCATTTGCAAACTGCTGATTTCTTTGGAGCATTGTCCCCATATACGTTCTGTAAAGCATCAGTGACTTCACTGTTTTTCCACCCAGGCTTCACCATCAATTTGATATTTGTTCTTGTTTCAACTGTAGCAGAATTCATGCTGCTCTGATAGGGCCTTTTCCCAAACTGATGTCTTATCCTTCTTAGTGCATCAAACTAGGTCCTGTTGAAACACATTATAACAAGTTAGTACAAGTGTATTTTGGTGCAAAAAAATTTTGCAATCCGTGCGTAGTTTTTTTCATAGTATGCATTTTCCGTGAATTTTTTGAAGACCCCTCATACATCTGTCACTGGGTTCATCATCCTTTGTTTCCTGGCCATGCAGTGCTGCACTGTGTCATTAGACTGTCGTTTATTTAGCCTGTATCCTATGGATGAGCATTTAGGTAGTTCCCAATATTTTACTGTTATAAATATCCACAGTGAGTAACTTTGTGTATATGTTACCTGTTTGCAGAAGTGAGGGTTTTTAAAATATGATTATGGATTTTCTTAGTCAGTTCATTGCAGATATTTATTGCAGTGAGCAGTTTTAAAAATTAGAAACATAATAAAGTACGATTAAAGTGGACATTTCAAACCACTAGTTATACCAAAGATTTTAAGATCGACAAATCCAGTTATGCTGACATCGGTCATTGTATCTGGTGGTGTGTGTGCAGCGGCTGTGTCTGCTTGTGTAGGCGTAATCATCTCTTGTGAGAGCATTGCAAGAGCACCGTGCTCTGTCTGCTGACCCCAGACTGGTTTAGTTTTCAGCCCTGCATAGGTTTATCCCATTCCACCAGGTAGGAAGGCCTCCTTCATACCTGTATAAGTGCATAACATAACGTGCTTTGTGCTAACGACTAACTCTGGAGCATAGGACTAACTTTTCATTAAGAACAAACAAACATCCAGCCCACAGTCATACTGTTACTACATCTGTGTGTTTATAAGTAGTTGCTAACAGCAAAGACTGGGATATAAATTGGGTTGTGAAAAGATATTTAGTTTTTAGATTCAAATAACTTCTCTAAAGCATTTAGAAAATATTTAGTAAGTTTCAAGTGTAATTTTACCATTAAATGTTTTTTTTTTATTATTGAAAAACCTAAATAATGAAAATATACTATTATTTCTTGTCAGCTTTTTCTTATTTTAAAATAGTGAGACTAATTAATGAACACCATGGCCCCACCATTTATTTGTGTTAAGTCTTAACATCACCATATGTGCTTTGGATGGTTGTGAAAATGAATTGCTCATTATGAAAACAAATGAGGCCCTGGTGTTCCGTCCCCAGCCCTGGTCCTCCCAGCTCACTGTCTCCCTTACAGCATTTGAATTTCCCTCCTAGCGCCTGGCCTGGCACCTCTGCCACGTGCTTCTGCGAATCCAGCTCAGTGCCACCATATGGCTCTTCCCTGTGCGGGGGTGGAGTGGGAAGGGACCTTGGCTAGGTTGCAGTGCCTTTGAAAACTTCTGTCTTTAACCATCATAAGAAAGTCCACACGTGTCTGCACCCCAGCCCTTGGGCCCCCTGCACTCAGAGCCCAGGTCATGGCACTGCCCGGGCCTGTGTGGCAGCCCTTCCCCTGCGCCAAGGTCCCCAGAGTGCTGCAGGTAGGCCTGGGCCGCCTGCCTTGTCTTGAGCAGCCTGACCCCGTGTGTGGTGATGGCTCTGAGCGCCCAGCCTCACTCCCCCATCAGCCCTTTCATTTTCACGTGCAGGTTTGCACAACACTAGCTCTTCCCAGAACGTGTTGCGTAGCAGCGTAGTAGAAATGGCAGTGGCCAAAATGTGTGTTTTGAATCCTGTCACCTTGTTAGTCATACATGACCATTAAATAGCTAAATGTTCCAAAGCCAGGTGAAAAATCCTCAGGATTTTATAGTTCTCTCTCTTGTCAACGTTGGGAAACTATTAAATTCTACTTACCAAAAGTAAAAAAAAAGGTAATTTTGTATGTTTTTAAAAAACCATATATTGTTTCTGGAGCAAAGAATTATGTTTCTTCAATAGGAAGAAAAGCTATGAATTAGGGATTTTATGATGAAGTAAAAATAGGATTTTTATTTTTATTTGAATCAATTAAATTGCTATGCAAATTGATTTAAAATTGAGATCCATTTATTCATTGCGTAAAAAAGGCTGGAAGGATCAGACATAAGCTGTTGTTGGGAGAAATGTGCTGTCTGATTGGGTGTCTTCACTGCTGTGCCACACTGTCTCTTGCAGCATGGTGTTCGGGAGCCAACTGGACATCCACTCGGGTGGGATAGATTTAGCTTTTCCTCACCATGAAAACGAGATTGCGCAGTGTGAGGTCTTCCATCAGTGCAGGCAGTGGGGAAATTACTTCCTGCACGCTGGTGAGTAATGACTTCAACTGATTTGTTCTCTTTCCATTTTGTCAATTCTGTCTTTATTGGCAAAACTGTTACATTTGGAAATGCAAAGATCAGTTAATAGATGAAGAAAGGGATTTGTCTCTTAAATTATGTTTGAATTTTAGTCATTTGGACGTGAACTGCTTTGCATTGGATGAATGAGTACACCTTTTCGGAACTGGCTAGAACATGGAAAGTGCTTTAGAGTACTGTTCTATACAAGTTTCTTTCAAATAAAATTATTAAGGTGGAATTTCAAAAGTATAATGTAAGGATAATTATGAATATGCCATTTTTAAGCTATCATTTTGTCACCAGACATATCTGTCATCTTCTAATGTATCGCCTTCTATTTCACTATTCAAAAACCATAACTGATGAACACCAGCTGTCTGTTTTTGGAAGGAGATACAACACTGTACAGTAAGCAGTACCTTGAGCATAGCAGTTTTGGAATTCACTTTGACGCACAGGAAGATTCACAGGTCCAAGTTTTGGTAAAGGTCATGAGGCTAAAATTATTACCATTTTAGAACAGACAGCTTAGGTATTTGAGATGAAGAAGGATAGAGTGTTTAGTAGTGACAGGGTTGTGGGATGCAAACATCAACATCTAAAATACAGGGAATTAGCAAATGCCATTTCTTAAAGTCCTTGAATTGGGAGATTGGGTTGTGCCAGCACGGTGATGTTAAATGCAGAGACTCTGTAGTTTTATACTCTGCAGTAGGGTTCACTTGGCTTCTTCATGAGGCTGCTTGCCCTGACGTACACTTAAACGACAGTGTTTTCTTTACACCCGAGCTCACCCTGGGGAATCGGGGGACTGTTGTCACATTTAGCTCTCCTAGTGCCCCAGGTCTCTGGAAGGACCAGCTCTTTCTGCAGTGCCTTCAAGTTGTGTAAAAATAAATAAAGCAGAGACAAAGCTGGCTGGATGGTATGTTTGGACTTAGGAGCCATTGTCTAGTGTTCCATGTCATTTCCCTGCATAGAACTCACTAGCACCCCAAATCCACTTCATCTTGGCCAGCAACGTGACTCACTCGGTGGATTCCTTGAGCAGGAGGAGGGAAGTCCCATGAGCTTCCTTCCACGTGCTGCTGGTGCCTGTGGGGAAGTGCACACTACTAGCTGGCAGAGTGGCAAAAACAACTCCTGGGGAACCCGGGGTTCAGTTCCTCAGCCACATGCCCCACTCGAGATCTCGTGGAGAGGAGTCTCTCCCTCTGCCTGGGCCAGATAATTGTGTCCCTGAGAGTCGGCGTGCTCAGCCTCCTGGAGGGTGTGAAGCACTGCGGTCCATAGTGGAGGTGATGGTGTCCTGTCTCAAGTTCCAGCAAGTCATCGCCCCCGAACCGTCTGATGATCCCTCTGCAGACACCTTACTGCCCCTTGTGGATTCTCTTGAGCTCCATAGCGAACTGTGGCTCCAGAGGTCAGAAAGAGTGCCCTCAGCAGCACTGTGCGCAGATGTCCCCAGCCCTGCCAGCTAGTAATGCGGCAGAGGGGGTCGAGACCATGGCAGGTGCTGTCCACCTTTAAATGTGGGATGGAAAAGGGGGTTTTGCAGCTGTTTTTAAAATGATTTTTACCACCTACTAAGGTAGCAGGAATTTTCTTCATACCAGTTTGGCCCCATCCTGGAAGCACAGTGGTGCCTCCTGACACGGGAGAGTTAGCCCTTCCTCCTGCAGCAAATGGACAGAAGAGAAAGCTAAGTGTCAGATGTCGTCTTCGTCCGTTCAGGCTGCTGTGACAAAATACCATAAACTGGGTGGCTTACAGACCATGGAAGCTTGCTGCTCACAGTTGTGGAGGCTGAGTAGTGCAACAGCAAGCTGCCACTGTGGCCGAAGCCTGGTGAGGCTTCTGGTTCACAGACGGCATCTTCTCGCTGTGTCCTCACATGGTGGAAGGGACAGGGCAGCTCTCTGGGACCCTATGGGCACTAATCCCATTTATGAGAGTCCTGCCCTCATGACCTGATCACCTCCCGAAGCTCCACTTCCTAATACCATCACTTTAGAGGTTAGGATTTTAACATCTGAATTCGGGAAGACGTAATCATAGCAGATGTGTTTCATTTTCCAGATACTGTCAGTTTTTAAAAGTTTGAAAAAAATTTAAAAATCTGTAAATTGAAATTATTATGAAAAATAATGGGGAAAGAAAGACAAAAAAATGAGAATGGAAGCAAAAAATAAACAGGAAAGAAAAGAGGGCAACAACACAGGTAGAGCTGTTGGAATCCAGGCTGAACTCAGTGCATCTGACCTGGTCTTATTATCTTTTTAAAAAGGAGAATTCTTGGCCAAAAACAAACACAAAAAATGCCAAAAACTAGTCTCCTTTTTTTTTTTGTCTTTTTTTTTTTTTTTACTGACTGGTAACAGGATCGCAACCCTCGGTGTTGTGCCCGCACCGCGCTCAGCCAGTGAGCGGGAACCGGTCTGTATGTGGGATCCGAACCCTCGGCGGGAGCACCACCACGCTCCCAAGCGGCACACTCTCCAGTGCGCCACCGGGCCGGCCCCGTAGTCTCCTTATTTTGAAACCATTTTTCCCTCAATGCTCAAGAGAACATTTATATCAAGTCCATTCTCCTTAGTAGAGTTACTTTGCAAAGTTCTTCCTGACCCCCCAGGCTGCACCCCTGATACACCACATTCCAGCGGGCACTTCTCCACGCACTCTCTGTCACGGCCTTTATCACAATTAATTAAATTAATTATTATCTGAAAAAAAATTTTAATTATCATGGTGTCTATGACATATTATATAGAATTACATATTCAAGGTAATATCTCTTGTTGGAAGCTACATTTTAAGCAGTTTTCAGAAAGATCAGCCTTGGAGCACCCTTATATTTGAAGTTGTGTCAAAAAAGAGAAAAAATCTTCTATTAGAAACAGAAGGGCTCTCCCTTGGAGATAAACCTTGTGAAAATACAGTCCAGGAAGAATTCCAGGCTCAGATTTAGTCCCTGAGTGGGTTTGGTTTTCCTTTGGTCTGTCACATACGTGGGGTGACATGGTGCTGAGGTCTTGGTACGCCTGTGACAGCAGCTATCACAGAAAATCTGTTCATCACACTTAGAGGCCTGCAAGCCCAGCTCTGTGATTCTGAACGGATTCTGAACGGCCGCAAACAGGCTTTGTTGTCCTGAGCCAGATTTGTCAAATGAGAGGTTGGTCATTTCTTCAGTTGTTTAGTCAATTAAATCAGTGTTTCTGAATCACAGGAAAGGGGAAGAAACGAACCACTGCTGTCAGAGTCACAGCTGTGGATTCTTGTTTGAGTCAGCCAGGGGTACCTGCGTCATCATCCCCCCGCAGCTCCAGAGGCCGTACAACAAGCATAAGCTTGGCTGCATCTTCCTGGAGGGCTGTGCATGGGTGCAGATCTGGGGGCAACGTGTATGCATATGTGCACGGGCACATACGTGTTATCAGATGCAGTTTCCGAGGTGTCCCGAGGCCACGCGCAGACCCAGCCCTGTGGCTCCGGGGTCCAGTGTGGGAAGCACCAGCTTTGGTCTCTTCCCCTCTGATGGCCTGAGGTCTCTTTCTGCTCACCCAGTTAGAATGAATGCTTTTGCTTTTGTTTCAGGCCATTTGCACGTGAAAGGCAAAGAAGAAAAAATGTCCAAATCATTAAAAAACTACATCACTATTAAGGTAACTGCTTTTATAACTTCTGAGCTGCTGACCACACCCCGAGCCTGTCCCACGTGGGGCCAGGGCCACACAGTCTGGTGCCCAGTGTCCCCTGCCCTGCTCCTCCCACCCTGGGCTAGGTTGCCAGTCCTCCTGCATGTGCCTGTGCGGTGTTCAGGCGCTGCCTCCTGCTGTGTTCTGTCCCGGCTTTCTTGCTGGACCTTCCCTTTCTCTTTCTGCGTCCCAAAGGTCTGCACCTTTGCCTTCCCTTTTAGTGCAATTTTCTCTCCCAGGTGGCACTCTCTCAGTCCCTTCGCTCCCCAGCAGCCTCCCCCTGCCCTGCCTTTGGGATCTGTGTGTTTGGTTTCTGCTGCTTCCCCTCAGTGGGCTCAGAGCTGCCGGCTTCTGCACCAGCCTGGAGAGTGTCCTTGTGCTGCCACGATGAAGATGGAACACGAGTTCCATGTGAGCAGAAAACAGGCGCACTAACAGGATGACACTTTAAAATGGTGTGAGCGATATCCTCCAGTGTCTTTGGGCCTGTCTCTAAAGCCACATTTAATTTTAACTGCAAAATAAATTGACAGGGATAGCAACCAGACCTTTATCACCTAAATACTCAACCACTGAAAACTGTTCCCATCAGATTTAGAATAAATCTGAAAGGGGACTGTTCTGTACAAAATAATGGTGTATACTTTTCTCAAACAGAATTCTTCAGTTTTATCCCAGGCAAATTTTCACACCCACAGAAAAGTTGAAAGAACATTCATACACCACTACATAGATTCAGCATTTGTAATTATTGTGCTACATTTGCTGCATAGGGAGGAAAATAATTTTTTGCCTACACCCATCTTAGGTTCTCCAATAGGGGCTGTAAATTAGACCAGCCAAAGAGATCACCAAGAGGAAAACAGAGAAATCTGTTAACATGTGCATCACACAAGAGCACATGGGGTCCCCAGCAGTGAGTCACCCAAGGGAGTGGTGAGAACCTGGCTTCAAACACCATTTTAGGCTAAACAGGAAAAGGGAGTTTGAACTTGAGGAGGGGGCGGCACGTTATGGGCAGGTGAGCAGGAAAAGAAGCCTAACAAGGTTGTTTAGTGAGTTTGTCACGCAGATTTGAATCTCCATTAGAAGTTGGTGGGAGTCGTCTTCTTCCTGGTTCAGGAGAGGGAGACGCCTTCCACACGTGGAAATTCCTTAAAAGGAAAACTCGTTTCCTGTTAGAGCTTTTCTTGCATCTGCTGGTTCTTGGTGACAGTTATGTCAAAATGATCCATAAACCTGAGGCACATTCTGGGGTGCTGGACTGGGGTCCCCTTTGGCTGCGGGGTCTGTAGCCCTGGGTGGTGAGTGCACGTGGCTGTGTGTTACGTGCTTGTTGCTGAACCCTTAGGAAATGCCTGGTGGACATTGTTATCCTTCTCTATTCCTCATGCAGCGCCCCAAAACAAGGGCGGTTTCCTACCGAATCTAACACCCTAAAAGTGAGCAATAATTTATCTAGTCCAAATTCCAGTTTCTCCATTCATCCCCCAAATTATTTCCATAGCTTTTTTTAAAAACAAACATACAGGATCTGATTAAGGTTCATGTGTTGCATTTGGATGTTGCGTCTCTTTAGGCTTTTTTGAATGTGGTAAGAAACACAGAACATAAGATTTACCGTCTTAACCATTTCAGGGTACAGTTCAGTAGTGGTAAGTGTTACACATTCCTCTGTGTAACCGAGATGGAGAAAACAGAAAGAATTCGCTCAAAATACAATCAGTGAGGCCTTCAGGGACTGCCACCCATCAGGGGAGCAGCCCCAATCCTAAATCAGCCTTTCTTTTTATTGACAAGACAAGGAAGTTTCACAAGAAAAATCAGTTGATTCAATCATCAAAGAAGGACGTAAGGACAGGCAGTGTAAGGCTAGTGACAGCAGTAAATTAACAATGTGACATTCCAGAATGTAATTTGTAAAAAGCCAGGTTAATTCACCAACAAAGACCTTGTCCTTAGTAAACATTTCCTTTTCCACATACTTCCTACAGCAATTTCCTTAGCATAATTAAACAGCATTCAAGCAGTTTCCTTAACATATCTCAAGAACAATCAGTAGGTTAAATAGTCAATAGTCATTCAAGCCGGAATCAAACCAGCAACCTAAAACAGTCGAACTACACAATTCCATCCCTAAACAGAGATTAGAATTGATTAGATGGCTTTTGCCAACCTTATCTGTGGACTTTTGTCCCCTATTCAAGAACTTTTGGCTCATTCATTCATTACCTAAAAATCCTATTCTAAGATCAAAGGAGAATCAATATTTCTAACCCACTACTGGTCAGTATGTTCACATTGTTGTGCCACAGACCTCCGGACCTTCCTCATCTCGCAAACCCACTCGGTACTGGTGAGCAGCTTCCCATTTCCCCCGCCCCCAGCCCCTGGCAACAACCCTCTTCTGTTTCCATGATTTGGACGACTCTAGAGCTCGTAGAAGCGGAATCCTGCAGAATCTGTTCTCATGTGACTGGCTTATTTCACTCAGCATAATGTCCTCAAGGCTCACCCATATTGTAATGTGTGTCAGAGCGTCATTCCTTTATAAGTCTGAATGCTTCATTGTTCTTTTTAGGCTTCTAATCTACGGCAGTCTCTCTGCTTTTATTTTTTCTACTACTCTGACTTTTTAAAGTCGGATGTGTTGAACATCCCACATTTGAGATTCATCTGTCTCTTTGTGGTGTCACTCAATTTTTTTTTCTGTCCCCTGTATTTCCTTTAACTGGAAGTGAGGGTTGAAGGCTTGATTGGTTCAGGTGGAGAAACATGTGATGGGTGATGCTGCGGGTGTCACACAGTGTCCCTCTGGGGGCCATGGGGTCAGACTGCCCTGCTATTAGTGATGGCAATTGGGCCACTTGGTTAAGGGCTGGCCACCAGATCTCTTACCGTAGTTTTATTTCCTTTTCATGGATATTAAGAATCTGCGAGGTGATAGGCCACGAGGTATCCTGTTCCCAACCGCCTTCCACCCAGTGGTTTTGGAGGCTTCACCTCCACGTACTTCACTGGTTATTGCGAAGTCCCGGTTGTCTAATTCCTCACCTCTTACGTTTATTGGTTGGCATTCTTCTTTAAAGAAAGGGGGTTTGTCTGTCTTTGCTGTCTCTCCTTGTTTTTAGTGTTACTGCAGAGTTGAGGGCGCATATTTATTTAGTGTATTACCAACTCAGTCATTTTTCCTTTTGGTGGTGACACCACCCCGAACGTGGCCCGGCTCCGGCGCCCTTTCGGGTCGTGGGCGTGGCCTCCTGGCCTGGGCGTGGCCGTGCTGCCCGCCCTGCCTCCCTGTGCTTCCTGCCCAGACCTGCCACTTCTGCTTCCAGGAGGATCCCCGTGGCCACCGCCCCTGCGGGGAAAGGGAGTTTTGAAGCCAAAATCTTGGCATGGTGATTGCTACTGGGGCGACATTGTTTCTGGGCCCCTTTAGGGGACTCTTCCACAGGGGTAGAGAGAGACAAACCATGCATAAAAAAGATATTATTTGAGTTCATTTTTATGTCCAGATAAAATTTAATATCGCAGGGATTTTTTGTTTTAGCTCTTTTTCCCCTCTTTTATGAAAAATCTTATTTCCTTATAACTTATTTTCTTATTTCCTTATGACTTTGCTTTATCTTGAAATACACACCAAACAAGTTTAAAATTTAATACCAGTATTACTATTAACAGTAAAACTATTGAGTAAAGTTTAAGATTCCTTCTCATTTCTTTTTTAGATAATAGCTTTATTGACATAGAATGTGCCCTTTGAAATGGCATCGCCCAGTGGTTTGTAGCGTGTCTGCAGTGTGCACGTGCCACCACGGTCAAAGGACAGTCTCATCGCCCCAGACAGAAACCCACACCCGTCAGCAACCACACCTCATCCCCCTTCCTCTGATTTCTCTTTCCACGGATTTGCCTGTTCGGGCTTGTATTCCTTTTTCTGTTAGAATATATCCCACTAAGGTTATGTGCTCAGAACATGCACGCAGGCCAGAGGACAGTGGTTTCTCAGTGGTTTTCTTTACCTTCCGTTTATCAGGAGGTACGTTCATTAAGTTTGTTTCCAATTTGATGGCATCTCTTCCCCTTTTCTATTTACTTTTATCTTTCAAATACATAACAGGCATGCAGGGTTCAGTCGTCAACACCAGAGCGGAGCCTGGAGAAGGCACGCCCTGACCCTGGCCTGTGCACCGCCACCTCCATCCCTGTAGATAACTTATTTTGTTTCTGGATTATCCCTCCAGTGTTTCGTTTTACAAAATAAGCCAATATGTGTATAAATTCTTATCTCCCCTCTTTCTTGTACAGGAGGCAGTAGAGTATGTGTATTGCCTTTTCCTCTCTCCAGTGTTTCGTTTTACAAAATAAGCCAATATGTGTATACATTCTTATCTCCCCTCTTTCTTGTACAGGAGGCAGTAGAGTATGTGTATTGCCTTTTCCTCTGCAGTGATTTAAGTAATGTTTTAACCTGATTATAGAAGTGACGTGTCTCCTGCCCCATCATGCTCCCCTGTTGCCAGCCTCTTGGAAGCAGCATATGTGTGCGCGTGTGTTTATGTCTCTCTGTAAGTGTACTTCTCAGTTTTTTCTTTGCACACAAGTGATAGCCCTGTTTTCCTCTTGCTATATTCACTTAATGTCCTTCAGATTAGTCAGTTTTCTATCATGTGGAGTTTTCATTCTTTTGAATGCCTCAGTAGTACGGGTGTATCTTAATTTAAACAGTCATCTATTAATGGTCATTTAAATTATATCAAGTTTTCTACTGGGTGTGTGCATTTCAAATTTTCACAGGTATTGCCAGGTCTGGATTACTTTTGATGACCACTTAGTGGCTCACAGTAGTGACATACTGTGATTTATTTTGCTGTTTGTGGACTTGTGTAAGCGACCTGTATTCTGTAGTCAGTGTTGCTGTGATGTGTATCCTTTAGCTAAATATCTATGCACATCTAATGGTTAGTAATTTAGGATAAACGCCTTGAGGTAGAATTGCTCATCAGAGGACAAATGCACGAAACATTTTGCATTCGATCTCTGGTAATTTAGCAATAAGTTTTGTTCCGCTGGCAGCATGTGGAAATGTCCACTTCCCAGGGCTCTTCCAACATCAGATTAGAAGGATTGTAATCAGGTTAACATTTTCCTTGGTAATTTGGTGAAGAATGGCAACTAGATTTTAAATTTGTCTCTTTATTTGCTAGTTGAATTTGCCTGTATGTATTTATTGGCTGGCCTGCACCTGCCCTTGGCCCACAGTTCTTTGGGGGTAAGATATTGCTCCACATGTTAACAATATTTGTCAATTTCCTGGTTTCTAGCAGAAGAAAGTTTCCCCACCAGTTCTCATTGTTTTGGAGACCACTGGTAGGAGTTTATAACAGTCTGAGGATAATTCTTGACTCTCTCTGCCTGACAGAGACGGAGTCAGTGTGAAAAGAGCTCACCTCTGGAGCTCAGGTAAGGACTCAAAACCAAGCTTTTCTAGTTACTAAGCGTGAGGTCCATGTGCAGGGGGCATTATGCGACGCATGAGGGAGTGAGGGTCTGGCCCAGGAGAGAGGCTCCTGGCGCACCCTCTCCTGCTGAACCCTAATATTCGAGGATGCCATTGGTAGTGTCCTGGCTGCCAGCCAGTCCACCTGCTGGCTTCCTACAGGCCTGAATGAAGCCTTTACCCTGTGAGCTCATGGTCACTTCAGGGCTTGTTGCTGTCACCGCTTGATGGCAACCTGGGCTAAGGTCCTTCAGCCTGAGTTCCCAGGAGGTCACTTAACTCCCTCCAAGATCCTTCCAGCACAGGCTTACACAGGTCAGCACAGATGGCCTCTCAGGGAGCCGTGGCCAGGTTGTTTGGTGGAACCTGAGTAGCAGGGAAACTTAGCGCTATCAGCAAGCACAGAACAGGAACACATTGAAAAATTAATGTCCGGGAACACCCTCAAAGTGCGAGCTCTTTTCATGTTTGTCCCGACGCTGTAGGATGAAGTTGTTTCCACCTCTTTTGATGTTATTATTAACAAACGCTATAGGAGAAACCAAATGCTGTAGAAAGATTAGATTGCAGATTTCTATTTGAACTTCTACACCTAACTACAGCAGTGCCCCCAGAGTGGGGACAGTAAACCCCCTTAACGTTGTTGAGGTTTCAGAGAACTATTAATTTAGGTTTGTGAACACACACAGGGGCCCATTCTTAATGAGTTCACATGAATAGAAGGAATAATCTTTTAAATAAAGCCACCTGAAGTCCTTTTTGGAATGAAGTAAAGAATACACCTGCCCGGAAAATATAAAATTTTCAATTTATCCCAATTCTGAAAGGAAGAAAGATTTCTTTTAGAAAAACTAGAGAACGTCAGAGATAAAATATCCCTAATATTACAGTTTCAAAATTGTGTAACCAAATGCAACAAGTATGAGCAGCAAGTCAGTAGAGGAGGAAAAGACATCTGAGTCAGAGAAAGTACGAACACCTCGAGGCCGGAGCAGCCGTACTCGTTTCTGCCAGACGAGTGGTCAGGTGGGCACAGGCTGTGCGAGGAGCTGGGGACAGCAGGTCACAGGAGGGCGTGCACACCCTCTGCTCCTGTGGACTCTGCCTGTCCGTGCCAAACATCCGGCAACGATCTATAGGAAGCAAAACAACTCACCTTGCGGCGTGGGTTGGGGAGTGGTTCTACTGATACGGCGTTTCCCAGGTAAGAAATGAAGGCGGCCAACATAAGGCAGCGTGTAACAAGCTATGAAGCGGGTTATAGTCCGTGCTGGGGAATGAATTCCAAGGAAATAACTCATAGTTAAGAGAAAAGCCGAAGAGGGTACTGGCAAGGCCCTCTGTGCACAGGGTAGTCACTGGGTGCCCCCCGTTCTCCTGCCAGAAACCCAGACCCAGAACTCTTGCTCAGCATGTTTCCCGGGGTGCAGCAGACAAGAGCCTTTCCCAGAAGCATTGTAACTGGGAGATGCAGCCTTGCAGCTGCACTTGGGGACACTCGTCCTACTGCAGTGGGGGAGGGAGCGGGCAAGCCAAGACACAGGAAGGACCTGGGCGTGAGAGCGCAGGGTTTGTAGTCTGCGTGCAGCCGGTGACCTCAGCAGTCTGGTTTTCCACTCTCTAAGTCTTGGTTTTTGGTCACCATAACAGGACAGGTAATGATTATAGTATGTTTCATCTTAGCATTTTGTAAACGATAAAGCCTTGTAATAGCGTGAGTCACCTCTCTGGTTATTCCATTTGTGTATGAACTCGGGACACGGCATGGTATTTAGAGCTGTGTACTTCTACAATGGCGCGTGGAGATTGTAACAGGAAGCAACTTGGATGGGACAAAGCAGGACGTGGGTGCACGTGTGTGTTAATCAGAACCGCAGAAATGTTCACAGACACTTTGGAGGGAGCAAGAAATATTTCCTTTTTCACAATCTGGGAAGAAGCACACAGGACATGGACAGACAGAAATGGAAATGGCAGCGTCCTTACTGACGAAGGCGAAGGCCGGATTGGACAGGGCTGCTCCCCCACTGGCGTGCACACCTCCGGCCACTCCCCGCGTAGACCCCCGGCAGCTGGGGGAAGCCTGCGGACCCTTCCTTACAGCTTAATGTTTTTAAATACGTAAGACGAAGTGCGTGGGACCACAGAGGCAGAGGCCATACTGGGGCAGGGGGGTCGCGCACCGTGTCACTCAGTGCATTAGTTAACGTCCGGCAGGGGGTCGGATTGCTGCCACCCCCTCAAATAAGTAGCGGCCATGGGCGGTACCTGCAACAGGAAAACATCCGTGACTACTCATGTGACAAAGGTCCAGCCTTTGACAGCCCTGCTGTGGTTTGTTGCTCACGTTGACCATGGAAGCAAATGGCACATTTCAGCAAGAGGGTAGTGGAAACAAGTACATGACTGTTGAAGCAGCCAGCTTCGTAGTCCTCCCCGCCCAGCTGTCCCTGTGGACCCCAGTTGAGAACCCGAGTCAGGGGATTGGCCCAGCTTCCTATTTAATGCCGTCCCTGAATGAGAGTGACCCCCGTGGCCTCAGGCACCAACAGATGGTGGAATGCGGGGTGGGGGTGCAGCCCCCTGGGGAAGGCAGGCAGAACCCCTAGTCCTCTGAAAGGACTGAGCCCAAGGAGTCCAGTGGGGCACTTTCCCCAACTCAGCAGCCTGCAGAGACATCCCCCATGCCCGGCGGGAGGCTGTGCCGCAGCCCTGGGGTAGGGACAGCAGCCCCTCCTGCCCCTCCAGCTCTTCGCTTTCTTTGCTCTTGGCGGGCTGTTCAGCACAGGTGTTGAACAGGATACAGTATTGTGTGTCCTGATAGAGTATTTGGAGCGGGCTGCCATGACTCAGCCACCCTCCCGGCAGCCTCCTCAGCACTGTGGCCTGTGCCAGTGAGGCCGCCAGGCTGGGGCACATGCCTCCCCAGGAAGAGGGTGCGCGGGCACAGTGGGTGTGGACCATGGGTGAGCCAGCCTGCGTGCTCACTTACTGCCATCTCAGCTGGTGCGATGTGATGCGCCATGCGTGCCATGTGTCAAGACAGGCCCTTCACCTGTGTCCTGTCATCTGAGAGTGTCCCTGGCAGGGCGTCAAGTGGGAGCTCGCGCTTGCTTTCCTGGGGCCACGTCTGAAGCCCCTAGTTGGGCAAGCCTTTCCTGCTTTTCTTCCCACCCTTTCTCTCACCTGTCTAAAGTGACTGCCAGAACCTGACAGCAGCCACCACATACACAGGTCTTACGGAACACTGGCCCCATCTGTGGCTCACCTCTGGGTAGCTCTGCTAAGTTTCCCATGTTACCCTTGCTAATGCAGAAGTCCCCACTCTGTGTGCAGATGTTCCATAAGGGGTCTGTCATCTGTGAGATGATTCTAGTTAGGTTCTTAGTGTACCCGTGTCTAATCAGAGGCAGGACAGTTTATTCTTCAAGACACAGACTTAGTGTGTACTTAGAACTGAGGCACCGGTGGGGTGAGCTGGCCCCACGCTCCTCAGTGTGACGCTGAACTCGGACGTCAGCTTGTTCTGACCCTGAGCCCTGGCCAAGCTCTTCCTTCCCTCGCACGCTGCCAGGTGCTGGGTGTCTCCACCTCCTGTGTCCCTCCACATGTACAATGTCGCTCTGACAGGTCCCCAGGCCACCTGGAGGCCCCTGGCTTTGTCCCTGCCATATGTGCGAGCCACGTATTGAAGAGCTCCCGAGGATGACAGAACAGATCAAAACAGGAATTTCAGGGCAAATGGGCTTTTTCTTGGTTTTTCCCACAAATACAGAGATTGAACAAAGAAAATTAAGTGAGGGAAATCACCAGGGGCAACAGTGGTAATTGTGAGAGTTTGGAGATACTTAGTCATTTCATAAACATTTCTGGTTTTTTCAAAAGTGAGATCAGCTCCATATTATAGACAATTATATAGTGTCTGAGTGATACAAAACGTAAAGAAAAGCATCGTAACTGCTTATTCCTGTCTTCCTTAGGACTTCCTCAAGACGTTTTCCCCCGACGTCTTCCGGCTTTTCTGCATGCAGAGCAGCTACCGGTCAGGTGAGCTGGACACGTCGCTTCTCAGGTCTCACGACCACCATATTTACTCATGTCTTGGAAAAGAATTATTCTGATAGTATTTGGGGATAGCAAAATATGGGCCAAATAATCTGTGTCATCTTGTTGGTGTGGCTGCTTCTGTGCCTTCAGGCTCGGGCTCCATTCTTAGCGCCGTCCCTGCGCTGGGCCTCGGCTCAGCCGGAGACTCCAGAAGCTGCCTCCAGAGCACGTGGGCCAAATAATCTGTGTCATCTTGTTGGTGTGGCTGCTTCTGTGCCTTCAGGCTCGGGCTCCATTCTTAGGCAGCGCCGTCCCTGCGCTGGGCCTCGGCTCAGCCGGAGACTCCAGAAGCTGCCTCCAGAGCACGTGGGGTCTCGGCTTCCTGCTGCGAGAGCAGCCTGCAGCCGGGCGGGGTCTTCCACCCTGGTGGGGTCTCCTGGAAGAGTGACAGCCAGATTCCGCCGAGCTGCACCATTGCCTCTGCCCTGGGGACACCAGGCTCTGCCCTGTCTGGCTGACCCCCTAATGGCAGTAAGGCCTCCCACGTCTGCTAGCACTGGCGAGGAGCAGGTCCACGTCCCCGGGTGACAGGGCAGGTGGCGGGGCGGGGTGTGCCTATCCTGGGCCTGAGTGCTCACCAGCCCCTCGCCTACGCTGGGTGTGGGAGCAGGGCAGGGTGGTCTTCTCGTAGCGAGTGCTGCTGTCACTTGCGTGGTCCGTCTCCTCCTGGGGCTGGCGTGGGTGCCCCCTCCACACCAGTGACGCACGGCTTCCTGTCACAGCCCTTCTCGCTGATGTGTGGAGAGAGAGAAGGGGAAGCCCTTAGCGGCTGGTGCTTGCGTGTGCCGGTGGCAGGCCACAGCTGGGTGGGGCAGTCTCTGCGCATCCACCTGGCCGCAGGGCACGTCCTCACCGCACAGCGCCCTTCTTCAGGCTTTTTCCATCTTACCTGAGGCCACTGCCTTGTGGGCGACTGCCAGTTCTGCCACTACACTGACGCCCAATGTCCCCAGGCTGCGGCTTTTTCAGACTGTCCCCTCTGCCTTCTTGTCCCCACCTTGCACCTTCCCTGCCCCTGCATGATCACTTCCCACTTCTGTGAAGGCAACAGGGCTGGGGCTGGGGTTTGCAGCCAAGTCATAACTGAGTTCCAGGTCACCCATGGCGTGACCCGGCCCAACAGTGTGAGCTGTTCCATGCACAGGCCTTTGGCCAGGCCTACCCGCCTGTCCTTCTCGTGGAGCTCCTCTCCGAGGGGCTCCTCTCCTCTTCTGTGCCCGGCAGACCCTCGCCTGGCCTGGGGCCCAGCACAGCCCTATCTGCTCCAGCTGAGGGGCACGAGGACACCTACACACTGGTCACCTACAGGCTCACACAGTTGACACACAGATGTGCACACACAAACACAATCAGAGTTGGCACAGACACACACAGCCTCTGTTCCCTGAGTTTCTTTAGCACTGGTCACAGGCCATTTGGCACTGCAGCTGCATTGCCAGGACATTTTAGGGTGAACGGATCCCGCCTCCTGGCTCTGTGACAAGTTCTCGAAGGCAGGGCTTAGCCTTTTATTCCTTCTACGGCCTCATCAGTCCTGGGCACAGTACCCGCACATGGCAGCTCCCTTTACATGTTGTTCATCGATCACCATTCCCGTCAGCGGATGTTTTCCAAGTGCGCCCTGGGTGCAGAGGCTCTGCAGGGAGACACAGGCACGCCACCTCCACCGTTCAGCCAGGACGCCACACGTCTCTGCTCCTGGGACACGTGGGTGCGAGCAAGGCCAAGAGCCTGTGTCCAGATCCTGGGCGGCCGCCAGTGTACGTGGAGACGAGAGCCAAGGGCTGGCAAGACACAGGTGGGACAGGGACACTGTGAACAGCGCATCTCCGCTCAGACCCGCAGACGCTGTCCACATCTGCGTCGGGCCTTGCTACCCAGGTTCTCTCCCCACCAGGTGGGGACTTGGGCTCGCTGGAGTGCCAGAGGCGTCCCAAGCAGTCCTGACGCAAATGTTTGTGTCCTGTAACGTGTCTATGCACAGTGTACATTTACGGGCAATTGGCACAGCCCAGCTGTCCCTGTGAGGCGAGGGTTCAGAGGTAAATGGATGGAGGAATTCACCGTTCCGTGGGGCTGTGTTGCTGGAGGAGGGAGACAGCAGCTCAGGGACTCATGGGCGGATTTCATGCACACGCGCACGGTCCAGGTTCAGGGCTCCCTCCTGGCTTCTGCTCATTCCTCTCTCGTGGCCAGTGGTCCTGGTCCTCTAAAGGCTGGTGGGAGCCCAGCCCTTCCCTGTGGCTTCTCGGCCTCTGAGGCCCCTGTTCTGCCTTGTCGTAGATGGCGGGGGGCTGGGGCAGGGCCTGTGTTACTGCTTTGATCTCTGCCTGTGTGCAGTTCATTTTGAACTGTGAGTGCAAAGTTTGGTCTGAAAGAGGCTCTCTCAAGCCTGGGCAGCTGCTTTGGGAACTCATTTCCAGTGGGAATTTTGGGTGGGATTGGGGCGCAGGACACTTAATCTGCCGCCGTGGGATTTAGGGAAACACTGATCCATCCCTGAATAGCAGAGCAGGAGGATGTGGACTCCTACGCAGGACCCCTCTCCCCTGGATGTACATGAGTCAGACACACAAAGGTCAGAAGTGGCCACGGGGGGCCTTGGCCACCCCCTGCTGCCTCAGCTTCCCTCCAAGCCTCAGCCTGTTCTAAAAGCTCGTGAAGCAGACTGACCGCCACGGGTGGCAGCAGGAGATTCCAATCCTGATCTACACTGTGCTGCATCAACACTCTGGAAAAGCCACTTTGGCTTCCCTGCCCCTTTTTTCCCATCTATAAATTGATGTCCTGGAATTGTCCGTTTGGAATATGCTGTCCCCTCACCTCTGCCCACAGGGAGTCCTCCTCTGCCTCTCCCTGTCTGGGATCCTGTCCTTGCTGTGTCAACAATGGTAATTTTATCTTTACAGGTCTTCCAGTTAGAGACTTCACAGTAACCCTATCAGTCCTGGCAACTTTATTTTTATTTTAAGCTTTGTCAGGTTGCATTGTGCGTTTCTGGGTTTTTCTCTTTTGAGTCAAGCTTTCCAAAGCAAAACCTGAAATTGGATTTTGAAAAATAGGTGGAAAACTTGTACAGAGGTCATCGGAGAATCTTGAGAGCAATTTTCGTCGTGTTGCTCCCCAGCTTGAATCCGTGTCTGATTTTGGAATTCTCGTGCTAAACCAATACTTTTAGGCACATCAGGGTGTAACTTTTGGTTTGAGTCCAGATAGGCTCTTTTTTTGTTTTTCAAAGCGCTGTTTAATCCTGAGCTCTTCATCTGTGGACCCAAGCCAGCCTGGGAATGGTTTGTTACCACCTGAAACAGCAAGCACAGAAGTTAGAGTAAAGGTTTAGAAATTTGTAACAGGCTGACATCGTCGATATCCTAGTATGCATGATCATTGTGAAATAATTCATTCTCCTTATGGGTTATACATCAAAAAGTGCAGTAAATTAGAAATTACAAAAAAACCCACACATAAAACAAAAAACACTGGTCCTCATTTCAGACAACATGAGGGACACTCACCAGCCCCTCACGCACTTAGTGTGAGGAACACACATTCAAAGTGTCATCAGCAGTGACTCTGTGGGCGAGACGACTAAACGCTGACTCATCAGGAGACCAGGGAATCTGAAGGCCGTACCTCCATCAGAGGACGAGTCTCTTCCTCTCCCCAGCTTATCCCGTTTCAGTGGACTTCAGTCGCTACCACACATAAAACAAAAAACACTGGTCCTCATTTCAGACAACATGAGGGACACTCACCAGCCCCTCATGCACTTATTGTGAGGAACACACATTCAAAGTGGTCATCAGCAGTGACTCTGTGGGCGAGACGACTAAACGCTGACTCATCAGGAGACCAGGGAATCTGAAGGCCGTACCTCCCATCAGAGGACGAGTCTCTTCCTCTCCCCAGCTTATCCCGTTTCAGTGGACTTCAGTCGCTTGTTTCCCTGGCTGGTCGGCTCAGCCGCTTGGCACGTCCCTCGGCCAGCCCAGCACACACTTCTCAGCGCTTGAGTGACATCCAGCAGGGGCCTCCAGCTGGGCGCTGCCCGGGTGCCCGGCACCAGTGGGTCGGCAGCTCCTCCTCCTCTGAGGACTCTGAATATGTTGCTCGATGTCCTGTCCCCAGAGGCCCCGGCATAGCTGCGGTACAGTGGGTTTTCACGTGCGCAGCTACAGAGGTAAAGATGTGACAGACCATGCAGAAATTGAGAGTCGGCACGTCACTGCAGTTACTGTATGAGCCACAGGGGCCACCTCATCTAACTTGTAACTTCATTTGATGTTAAAAACATTTTTTAAAACTAGAGGTATATTCTGTGATCATTTGTATTCTTAAAGACACATACTGATGGAGTGCAAAGACCAGGTCCCACTTGAAAACTCAGGCGTTTGCTGACAAGATGGAAACAGGTGATATGGTCATCCGTGTCCTCATTCTTTTCTTTCTCCATTTTTTGAGTCTTAGGGGAGAAGCATTGACTTCCAGAGTCCTCAGTGGGTGGTTGTTTTTATGTAACATTTCTGAGATAATCTCCATTGCAGGTAGCCTGAATATAGCTCATTAACTCCAGATTCTTTGTTTTGTGATGATTTATCTGAACTCCAGCTGACACTGAAATTTCAGTCATTATGGTACCTCACTTTCTTGAAGGCGATTTGAAACGTGCTGTGCCAGCACCAGGAAACCACTGTTGAATGTGGTTTCCATTCCTGGTGCCCCCCTGCCTGGGAGCGAGGTCCCTGGTTGTCGGTGAGGAGCCGCTGTCAAGGCCTCTCATGGCCAAGCAGGGCCTCTGGCTTGTCCTGCTCGAAGACACCTGGAAAGTCAGTATCAGTGAAGTCCTGTATAAGGAAGAGATCCTGTGTGTTTGTTCATCACTTAGCCTTAAAATCCAATGCTTAAACTTGGTTAGTAATTTCATGTACTTCTCTCTTAACAGTAGGTTTAGGGGGAATAATTCTTTTTGCAATTCTTTTGGGTTTCTCCCCATATAATTCTGGGATTTATATTAATTTATGCATTAATATTCTTTTGCATCACATGTTACCATTTCCTTTTTCCTTTAAACTGAATTTGGGATGTCCAACATTGCCAGAGTCCTTACACAGCACCCCTCTGCATGATGATGATGGTGACGGCTACCGCGGGCTGGCCGCTGGCCTGGGCTTCACGCACATCCCCTCACCAGGCTTCCCTGTCCGTGGGAGGGGACGCTGTTGATACTCTTGTGTGCTCGGGGACGCTGGGGGACAAGAAGGCCTGGTCACTTGCTCCAGGGCAGTTATGGGGGCTGGATCTATGCCAGCAGGCAGGGTGCAGAGCCCACTCCTACCACGGTGCCCACAGCACAGCTCGTAGCTGGCAGGGCTTCACCCCTTCCCCCACGCTTAAGTTTTCTGTGGGTAAAACTTTTGTCCCGACCTGGACTGTGGCTGTGGCCACGCTTCCACTCCCCCCCACCCACTGTCAGCCACGCAGCTCTGTCTCCCACTCGCACCCGCCACCGGCTCTTCTAAGAATGCTGGAGCTGACTCCGCCTCGTTGCCCACACCCAGGATTTATCTCATTCATCAGGTGGAACAGGTGCCCCGACAGCAGTCTTTTGACAGGAGGGTTACACCTGTCATGGGAGCAGGAGGCTTGGTTCCTTTGGAGGGTGGCACAGGTGATCCTGTGAGGCTGCCAGAAGGGAGAAGGACGACACTGTCCTTGACTGGGGCCAGGTCGTCCCCAGCCGGGAGAAGGGCAGAGGGACAGCCTCACTTCTCTGTCCTCACATTCTGAGAGGCTCCTGCAGCTCCGTCATGGCAGGGACTTCCTCCTGTCCCAGCTGTCTGCAGCACCTGTTGTGGGTTGAACTGGGTCCCCAAACAATCTGTGTCCAAGTCCTGACCCTTGGCCCCTGTGAATGTGACCTTATTTGGAGGTAGGGTCTTCGCGGATGTGAGAAGTGGAGATGAGGTCATTGGGGTGGGCCCTAAACCAATAGCACTGGTGTCCTACAGGAAGAGGGAGATTTGGACAGACACATAAGAGACCACCACATGAACAGAAGACCTCACAGAAACAGGGAAGAGAGCCACATGACCGCACAGGCCGAGACTGGAGCGATGCCTGTGGCCACCAGAAGCCCACAAGGCAAGAGGGAGCCTGCCAGACTCTTCGGGGGGCGTGTGGCCCTGCCAGACTTCAGACTTCTGGTCTCCAGAACTGTGGGAGAATAAATGTGTGTGGTTCAGGCCGCCCAGTCTGTGCTGCTTTGTTACAGCAGCCCCAGGACACTGACACTGCTGGGGCCGTGCCCTGCCCCTTTGTCCAGCTGTGGCCTGTGTCCACAGTGTCGATCCCGTGACCCAGGGGAGCTGCTTTAGACCTGTTTTCACACATTCTAACACCTCGAGATTGGTGACCACCCGTCCTCTCTGTCCCTGGACCACTGAGCTCAACATCAGGGGGCACGTTTCCTTGGAGGGGCTCAGACCCCAGGGCAGGGTCTGTCCCTCTTCCCAGAGTCAGCTTTTCTGTCTGTTCATCTGTCCATCCGTCAGTGGAAATGAGCCCCCTCGGCCAGAGGGCTACCTTGCTCTTCTGGGGTGGGTGACACTTGAGCTAGGACAGACCCTGTGGTCTGCGTCTGGTGGCCATAGGGAGGTGTGTGCTGGGGACAGGCCTGTGAGGGCCCTGGCGGTGCTGGGCACGGGCCTGTTCAGCGGCTGCCCCTCAGTGACCCTCTCTCCCTGCACAGCCATTGACTACAGTGACAGCTCCATGCTCGAGGCCCAGCACCTCCTGCTGGGGCTCGCCTCCTTCGTCGAGGACGCCCGCGCCTACATGAAGGGGCAGCTGGCCTGCGGCTGCGTCGCAGAGGCCGAGCTGTGGGAGAGGTAAGAGTTGCACCCACCTGCGCGAGCCTGTCGTGGGGAGATGGGGACCTTACGTGGAGGTCATGGGCTCCCCACTCACCCGCGTTGCGGCCTCATGGGGCAGGAGTTGAGGCGGCCCCGCCTTCGTGGGGGGCTGTGAAGGTTCTCAATGGTGGAGGTGGCTGGACCGGGCTGGCCAACTGAGCAGAGGGGCTTGATGTCATTAGTGTTGGGTAACGTCGATGACCCACAACTCAACTTCGTGGCTAAAGAGAGACTCACAAGTTGGGGGACGCATTAGAACTGCTAAGAAATGAGTGTGGCAGGGGAGGGCGGGGCACAAGTTAGCAGGGGTCGCGGGAGGCTGGTGGTGGCTCCCCGTCGAGCTCCCCTTGCCTGAGCGGCCATTTCTCTCCTCACTTCCCCTAGACTCACCAACACCAAGGGGGCCGTGAGGGCAGCACTGGCCGATGACTTTGACACACCTGGGGCGGTCCGTGCCATCCTGGACCTCGTGCACCACGGGAACCGGCAGCTCAGGGTGGCTACCAAGGTACCTCCAAGGACACACAGCAGACAGGGGTCGGGCTGCTTGGCTGGTGTTGTCTCTGGAGTGGGCCTCTGCCGACGGGCCCCCCGAGCTCCTGGAGTGCCCTGCCTCTTGCGGCGTGGCCCGCCCTGCTGGCCTGGCAGACCCGTCGGGAGGGCGGGTAGAGGGAGGGCCGAGCGCACAAGCGGTCACGCCAGGCAGCATCAGGGCGCCTGCTGGCCACTCCACACTGTGTGACCTCCCGTTGGCTTGGAGGAACTTGGGGGAGTCTGGGTTGGTTGCTGAGACGTGAGGTGGGGGGAGGCTGTGGGTCTGGGGCCTCAGGGCCACCCAGAGAAGGATCCCTTGGCAGCACTGTAGCTCTAAGAGGCCGAGGGTGACCCTCAGAGAAACCACTTTCATTTAGCTATTCCTCGTGGCCCTTTCTTAGAGGTTTCGTATGTGACATTTTAAGAGAGATCTGCTTACCCCAGTGCACATATTGTGCCCTCTGCGCCCGTGTCCTGACATCACTGAGCATACAGGGGCCTGAGCCTGGAGCCGAGGGTCACCGACGGCATCTGGGGCAAGCGGAGTCTTGTTCCCACGCACGCTTCTGAGGGTTTCCTGCCACATCCTAGGACACCATGTGACTTCATGATCTGAGAAGCTGAGGCAGCTGCAAAGACCTCACTGAGGCCATCCGGGCACCTCTCACACCTTTAGTGTCAATTGTAGGTTCTAGAACAGGGCCTTCCTCTGTCATTATTCAGCATCTCAGTGAGGGCCCCATCCTTGACCATATCGGTTCGGGATTTTAGAGCTCGGGTTCCCAGGCGTGACCCTGCTCAGAGTCTCCAGCAGGTGGGGCAGGAGGCTGCGTTGTTAACAAACTTCTGGGAGGTTCTGGGCAGCCAGGCCAGCAGGGTCCAGGCCTGGACAAGGGGCCTTTGGTCCGAAACCCGCAGATGACCGTTGGGGTGGTCTCATCTGAGCCAGCCCGGGTGGTAACTGAGTGGAATGGATATTTTAGTCGCAGCTATGCAGGAATGTGCTGTCCAGAACCGAAGGCGGCCAGGATTGTTCCAGCACAGGGGCTCTTCCCACCCGCTGTGGCCTTCCCTGTGCTGTCCCCTGGGCTCCTGCAGTCACTGCACCTGCATGACAGGCTGTCTGCCCAGCTCTCAGGCGATTAGAGAGGAGGTCGGGGCGAGGGAAGGCACCAGCGCCTGCAGTTTTCTGATCCAACCTGTGCAGTTCCTGGGGCACCAGGAACTAAGGTCGTGACACACGAGGGTCTCTGCACTTGTCAACTGACATGCGCCACACGTTTCAGGATTTCCTCTTTTTTTATTGTGACTCTGAAACCCAGCCCATTGGTTGGAGCACGGTGTTACACCACCAAGGTCAAGGGTTCAGCTCCCCATACCGGCCAGCCACCCCCCCAAAAAAGAAATCCAGCCCAGTTCCTGCTTGCTCCCCCCATACCGTACCATGCCCCATGCACGGCATCCTGCTGTCACGCCAACCTACGAGGGCCTGGTGACGGAGGTGCTGCTGTCTCCACATTACAGATGGGTAAACTGAGGCACAGGAGGCTTGCCAGTGAGAGCTGGTGTTCTTGCTCCACAGAAGCTAAAAGAAAAGGCCAAAAGGTGTGATCCATGGGCGTCTTTGTTCTTTGACCTCGGGTAACTTCTTCCAGGAACCTCATGGTCCGAGAAGTCCAGCTGTATTTGGTGCCATCGTCTCCTACATTGAAGAGTTTTTTGAGACCGTTGGAATTTCTCCGACAAATCGACAGGTACGTCCTCTCTTAAATGCTCAATTCTGGAATTTCCTACACGTTTGGTATGATAGCCTTTATCCTTTTTAAATGTTCATTTTAACAGATAAGTATAATGGCAAATTAATTTATTTACGTGGTTAAAAATTTTATGTTCCTTGAAGAATGGACTCACTCGGAGCTCATCTTTATCAACTGTAATTGGAGCGATTCTGCTCCTGCCTTCCACCTGGGACATGCCCCGTCTCCCTTGGCCTTCCTGAGCCTGGCGCAGGCCAGTCGCTGTGGAAGGCACTGGTTTGGGTCTGTCTGGTGTTGCGTGGCTGGGGTCAGGCTCTGCATCTGGTGGGAAGTTTTGGAAGGCTCGCATGCTTGCCCCACGGGTCCTACCTCTGTCATGCTCGCGTGGAGCACGTAGTCAAGGTGAGGCCGCCAGCTTCTCTCTACTTTCCTCTTCTTCCCTCATAACCGAAGAGCATTTGTGGGGAGACGCCTCTGTACCCGAGGACACCCCAGTCCACGCCAGACGCTCATCTTCCTCACTTGCATCCATGGGGACTTGAGGTTCCCTGCACTACTCAATCATTAAACCCGTCACTATTGCTTTATTGTCCCATGGCTGGTGGGAGCCCCTTGGAGCTGTCCCCTTTGTCCCCGACATGTCTCATCATTCTCTGGACGTCCTCGTGGAACCCCCAGCACGAGGCACTTGGCTCTCTGGAGTGGAGCCAGGAGGCAGCACTGGTCAGAGGCAACATGTTACCGGAGATGGCAGCGTGCAGACCGCGCCAGGCTCGCAGGGCCCCAGCAAGGGGGGGGGGGGATTTGTGTGAGCACACCCCTCCCCTGCACACATGCGCACACTTGTATTTACACTGATGGAAACAGAGGTTACCACCGATACCTCAATTGCAGGCCCACAAGGGGTCATCCTCGTGTCCTTCCGGCAGGGGCTCCCTCTCTCAGGCAGCATCCTGCCTTCCAGATCCTCCGGCTTCACTTGGTTGTTCCGTGCAGCCGTCTCCCCTGTGCAGATGCCCTCCTGCCTCTGCCGGACTGAGTCTACCACCCTCAATGCATGCACACTCCTCACCCCTTGGGGCTCTGCCACCCACATTGGGCTGCCCCTCTCTCTGCACACACAACTCCTGGGGCTCGGAGGTCCCACGAAGGGACCCCTCTTCTTCCTCTTCACTCCACACTGACTGTCCTCCATGCAGGCACCCACCTCTCTCCACTATATTTGACAGCTGTAGCACTGTTCAGGAAGGGGTAAGGAAAGGCTCAAATAGCCATTTTTTTTTTTTTTTTTTTTTTTGACTTAGACTGACTTCTCATTCACCTTCCCCCAGCCTCAAGGGTTGATGTCTGGGCCCACATTTTTGTGACAACAAAAATTATTTTTTATTATGCAAGCAATAATTGAGGATTGTGTGAAGTTGAAGGTGTTTGACCCCAAAGTTGCAAAATATCGTGGGTTCTGCTTATTTTATGCACGTGAACATGACGAATAGCCACAGCTGTCCCCCATGAGCCACCACTAGGACCGTTGTCCATGGTGGGAAGAACCCGTGGAAAGGGGAGGCTTCCTGCAGATCCTGGTCACCTGGGATGCCACGTTAGTCGGCAGTTATCCGTCCAGCTGGATGCTGAGATTGCTGGCCTCAGACTATTCAGTTGAAACTTGGTGTCTGTTTGTACGTGTTCACACAGCAGATCCTATGGGACATTTACACTGTTTTAAGTGTTTGCCTATAGTGGATATATGAATGTTTGTTTTCATTAGTCCATAAGGCTTAGACTGACTTCTATACTTTCCTTGGTGAACCAGACGATAAAGAAACATCTTCAGGTGATGGTGACACCTGTGGAGCAGCATTCTGAGAGGCCACTGTCATTGCCCTGGAGGCCTTGGTGGGGCCTGGGGTCTGCACCCTCAGCCAGCACCTGGGCTGGGTCTTGGGCCCAGGGAGCACCTGCATGGAGGAAGAGGTGGTGTGCCCTCCCAGGCCCTCCTCCCAGCTCCTGTGGTGGTGGGGGGGCTGGTCAGCTTTGCTTGGACAACAAATAGAGCCAAGGACAGTGGAGACTGGCCACTGCCCAGCCTCCACTCAAAAGGGCCCAGCTTTAGGGAGTCAGGGAAAGACTTGGGCTGGATGGATCTTGGGCTGTTGCCAGGGGCAGTAAGCCACTGTGCCTGTGTTCAGTGTGTTGCAGGAGACAGCAGCACGGCCACGCTACACAGTGTGGTGGACGAGCTGGTGCGGTTCCGGCTGAAGGTCCGACAGTATGCGCTGGCCACACCAGAGGCCACTGGGGAGGCCCGGCGGCAGCTGCTGCCCGAGAGGCAGCCCCTGCTGGAGGCATGCGACACCCTGCGCCAGGACCTCGCTGCCCATGGTGTCAGCATTAAGGTGAGCACTGCCACCCAGGCCGGGCACACTGGGCCCTTACCCCAAGCAGCTGTGTAAGTCAACAGGTGCTGCACAAATGCAGGGCCACCAGAGGCCCAGGCATCCCAGATATGCCCATACTTTGAGTAGAGAACCCTGCCCTGTGGCAGATTCAGAGGGACATGGAGGAAGGGTGTGCCAGACCCAGAAGGGACACTGAGGCTCAGCAGCATGGGACAGTGAGGTCCGGGTTCTGCACAGCCTGTCTCCCCTCCCCAGGTCGCACTGGAGCAGCCTCTGGCCTGTGTCAGAGGTAGCAGTGTCCCGCTTAGCATCCAGCTGCTTCCTGTAGGGCCAGGTCAGCAAGCTGGACTCCACCCTCTGAACCTGCCCCATTTCGCCTGTCAGCCCCTGGGCAACGTGGTATCCCCTCAGTCAGGACCTCTCTGTCTCTAGGATAGAAGCAGTACCATATCCACGTGGGAACTGCTGGATCAAAGGACAAAAGACCCAAAGCTGGGGAGCTGAGGATGGAGTAACGCCACAGACCCCCAGGCTCACGACACAGCTTCTGTGCTCTTCTATGCTAAGAACTTTATATTAAAGTTTCCTATTGTGGCTGTTCAGTCAACGTTAAAATAAAGCAAACCAATACTATGTCACTGGTGTCTGTTAATAATTATGCCCAAAGTAATTTCTTTATAGTACCAATGGCCACAGCCTCGACGTTCAGCTTGGTAAAATCATGGCTAGTATTCAGAGAAGTCAAGTCAGCCAGCACTCTTGTGAGTCACTGGTGTCTGTTAATAATTATGCCCAAAGTAATTTCTTTATAGTACCAATGGCCACAGCCTCGACATTCAGCTTGGTAAAATCATGGCTAGTATTCAGAGAAGTCAAGTCAGCCAGCACTCTTGTGAGGAAACCAGTGGCCCCTGAACCCAAGGACCAGCCAGCACAGGAAGAACAGAGAACAGCATGAGCCTAGAGAGGCCGCCTGCACTGGCCTGGAGGAGGGTCAGGAGGGTGGCCCTGTGGGCAGCAGGCCTGGGAGTTGCCTGGGATGTGGCTGTGGCCCTGCTGGGTCTAAAGCACAGGGAAACGCCCCATATTGCAAATGCTCAGCAGTGCTCATCATGGAGACCCCCTACCCCATGGTATCCTCTACACTTGTCTCTCTGGTGGCAAAGGTAGTAATGTTCACCATAGACCAGCAGAGGGCATGGCCTGAGCCACGCTGCAGCAGTCCTTATCCTGACAGCCGTATATGCACCACCCGACTTTCTTGGTCTAGGCAGGGTAGCAATGAGCTTGGGCTGCTGTGGCTGTGAAAGGCTAGTTCTGGAGGAGTCAGGAGTGCAAGACCCAGGGAGGTGTGACACAGGCAGGACTCCTGTGAACGGGCGGGAGGGCTGCAGCATGCAGTGGGCTCCAGAAAGTGCCTGGCCTTGCTCTCCACTTCCTCACCTTCGTAACGGGATGGGCACCACAGCGGTCACACCAACAGGCAGTACACAGGTGGCCCTGACTTCCTAGGTGGCAGATCCTGGGCCAGGCCTCTGCTTCTGTCTGTTACTGTCGGGCTGGCAGCAGGTATGATGGCGTGGCCTGGTTTACTGTATCATGCAAACTTCACAATGCTGCAGCCACTGGCATCCTGCTCCACAGATGAAAAACCCATCCAGAAGTTACCCACTGCGCCAATTAGGGCAGAGGAAAGATTCCCAGGAGCTCCTTACAACAGGACATCCCAACAGGGCCATGCAGTGCTGGGGAGGCAGACTGTCCCCCTGATGGCCTGCCACCTCATCTGACCACCCAAACACTTGCACATTGCTACCCTGGTCACAGAGCACGTCTTCACCTGGAGCTAGTGAGTACACGCGGGTTTGTAAAAGAACAGGGAAGAAAAAATACCATTAAAAAAATACCAGTCCCCGACTGCTTGGGTGTACTCCCCATCTCTCCTTTAAGCAAGGGATTCTGTACTACTTCAGAGCAAAAACTTAACAGAAAACATAAGAATGGTCCCTGTGACTTCACTAAATTTTATTTCCTATGGAAAGAAGTGGCTGTTTCAGGCTTACTTTTCAAATTACTTCATCGTAGCAATATTGGAAAACACTGGTGATAGATAACAGATAGACAGGTGGATAGTATTATGTATTTTTATATCCCTAGTATCTGATGATATCCTAACTTAGGACAGTTGAAAGGTGGGTTTTAGCTGTTTAAGAAAACAATACAAAACTCTACATTTAAATAAACCAAATCTTTTAATAGTTACCAGGATTTAAATGTAGTTCTCCAAAGGAAAAATGTCCATGGCACAGGTTTTGCAGAAAAGTTCACATGTAGATAGTGAAGGTTCTAGAGTTAGATGTGAAATAACAGCAGCAACCATTTTTTAAACAATCTTGAAAGTTGACAACTAGTTTTAAAGAGCAGAGTCCACGTGGGGCAGTGTCTGATCAGGACGTCCCCCAAGAGCCATGAGCAAGGGTGAGAGACTGTTCAGGGAACCAGGCAAGCCAGAGAAACAACCAGAGAACAAGGAAGCCTCAGGCCACTCTAAGAAAACCATCCGTACAAAGAAAAATGTGCACATCAGTAGAGAGAGGAGAAGAAATAAGTACAGACTAAAAACAAATCTGCTGATCTTGGAGTAAGACAAGAAATTCAGTTGAGCTGCTGGAAGAATTTTTCATTCTCATGGGATTCTCCTCATTTTTTTCTTCCCAGTCAGTGCTGAGAAACTATACAAAGTTCAGGAATACTTTGTTCAGTGTCATCATAATACCCCAACTACATGTTAGTTTACCCAAAGACTGCTATATTCCAAATTCTTAAATTCTCTACTTCAACCAATTTATGCTGGACTTAACCTCGCAGACCCCTGTGTGGAAGTGGGTTTTCCCACTACAAGTGCAGTTTCCTCCTTCACTAGTGCCCCTTTTCTTCCTGCTTGTGCTGGCTCAGGGTTCAAAGAGTTTGCTGAACGCGGCTCCCACCTCAGCGATCATGTCGGTGGTGGTGGTGGCGCGGCTGTGCTTCTGGAAGGCTTGCTGGTTACACTGCCTTGTGAGAGAGCAGGCACCGAATGCGGCCACCATGAGAGGGCTGAACCTGGAAGGGAAGAGGCGTCAGCAAGCAGCCGCTGGGGACACGCCGCTGCAGGCTCTGACTCCTGTTTTAGCCTTGGGACCCCAACTTGGCAACTGCAAGCCTGGTATGTCTGGGGAGAAGGTGGCTTTACCACAGCTGTAATAACCACTCCCCCTCGGATACTGACAGGCCTGACAGAGGGCCATGGTCAAGAGCAGACGCATGCTGCAGGTCATGTGTAATGTCACAGTGCTCTTCAGTCCTTCCAGGATGTGGAGGGATGTCTGAGAACACAGACTCTGGCTACCAATGCCACACATCCTGGGGAGGACAGGGAGAGAATGGAACAGCCCTCTGTACCTTTTCTCAGTGGAGTTAACATGAGACTCCGCCCTGTGGCTTTCAAATCCATGGGACATGCCCAGTTTAATCCATGGCACTGGTGCTCGTGTTCAGGTGTGCTGAGACATCACCATCCCAACTATGTCCCAATAGGTGGTAGGGAAGGCTGCTGGACAAGCTCACCTTCTAGAGGCTGGGGTGTACCAACCCAGCATGAGAGGCCATAACTTACAGGTACCATGATGGGTCTACAGAAGAGAAACTGAGGCTCACAGGGGTACAGGAACTGCCTTAGTTCACAGAGTTGTCTGACAACAGAACCAGGCCTAGAGCCCGTATCTTAGAATTCCACTGCCTCTTAAAGACAATTCACATCTTTAAAGACCAATGCCTGAGGTAGCCACACCTTCAGCCTGTTGTACAGGGTAAAGCACTGAACTTGCTAGAAGGTGTTCTCGACCTTGGCTACACATGAGAATTAACTGGAGAGCTCTGAAGACCACTGATGCCCCAGGCCCCATCTGCAGCAACTGCTGGGCACGGGGCCCATAGAAGCTTCCGTGGAGAGGACTAGCCTCTGCCCTGGGACGTCTCTGATGTAACACTGAGAGTTTATTTGGAATGTTTCAAGGGACTACTTCTCAAATGCGTGAGCTACTGAAATAGCTTACAAAATGAAATGATTCGTAGGAAAAAGGAAGATGTAGTCATACCCATTTGTTTTCTCGGGTCCAGCCAGGAGTGCCCAGTGCACCAGGACACCCAGGGAGCCCGACAGGAGGTCTCCTTGCCCGCCACACCTGCGGTTGCTGCCTTTGTGGCTGCATACAAGCACTGTGCAGAGACAGAGCAGAGGTTGGGGCAGACGTGAGCATGGTCACCAGTGCTCTGCCACACATCTCCTCGATGCGCACTCTGTACCACCTACGGTTCTTCCCTGCTTGGTCCTAGCAAGGATTTGAGGCAGCCTCTGTTTTAGGGAAGAGGAAAATCAGGCACACAGAGGCCAGGCGGCCCCAGGACAGCCTGCATGAGATGGCCAGTGGAGCCACCTACAACTACCAGAGCCACTGAGGACAAGCTCCAGAGGAGCACAGCTAAGAATGTCACAGGGACACCTTGGTCCTCCTGACTCCTGAGGCCCAGCTCCCAGGACGATGGCCCTATTCTATATCTCACACTTTGAAGTTGTCCTTATGTGGCCTGCCAACAGCATTCAGCACTACCCTGAGCAGAGGCCTCTGCTAACCATCACAAATTCATTTATGCCCGAGCATGTTAGAATTTTCTTTCTTTGGAAAACGTTTTGAAAATCACGTGTTACTTTCTGTGAGTGTGTAAGTCAGAGAAAGCCCTCCGGTAATAACAGAAGCTCATTTCAAAGGACTCAGAGTCCCTCCGAGGACACTCAGTTGCACTTCCTGGCCCCAGCTGTGTGTGAACTTGACAGCACTGACTGTGCTGATGAGGCTGTATTTGAGTGTGCACGTGTACACACACATGCCCACATGTGCCTTCGCACTCTCTTGTGCTGATTTCAGGTATCTCCTAGGCAACTCCATTTCTTGTTAGGAGCCCCTTGTATTAAATTATCTCCGTGGTAGTGCTGTGACCAGATCTGAATGGAGGGAGGACTTCCATGTGTCTTCAGCTGTGCCTCTGCTGGGGAGATGGCGTGGACGCCGGCTCTCAGCACCTGGCTCTGCTCTCACTGTCCTGCTGAGCAGTCCACAGGATCCTGTGGGAATGGGACTCGCCACATTCAGCACCCAGTGATCCACTACTACTGTCAGCTCTCACTTTCCAGTATTTTTATAAAATAGAACAAAGTGCAGTAAAATATTCAAATAACTGTATGGAAGCCACAGGCAAACAGAGGCAGCAGGTGGGGACCCTGGCCCGGGACCAGCATCTCCTGTTATTGCGGGCACGTACCCACTGGGCTGCTGCTTATAAATCATTTACGGAAATGTAGCCAATGGGTATGGTCTACAACCAGGAATTAAGGCTTGAGACATCTCTCTCAACACTATCACTTCCCTGTGCAAAATAGTGAGAAGTAAAACAAATATGAACTTTCGAGAAGTTGTGGTTGACAAGTTCATCAGGAAGTCCCTTTGTGCTGAACACAGTGAACACGTGTGCACAGAGACCATCTGGGGCCTGCACCTGGCGTGGCCACACTGACCAAGCTGGTGCTGACCAACAGGCGCTGACACACATGGAAATGACTGACCCAGGGCTGAAATGGCACCCACCAACTGGCCCCGAGTGGACTGAGGCAGAGGAAAGCCACCACTCACCCTGTTGGCCATCAGAGATCATGTCGTGCTCTCCTTTCCGGACCACAGTCACGTTCCCCAGGGCCTGGCTGAGACTCAGCACAGTTGCACGTTGATCAGCACTGTCCACAGGACCTCCAAGCTACGACATAGCAAGACAACTCCAGAAAAACCAAAGCCTGCCTTAGACATGTAAAAATAGCCTGCTACGCACGTGACAGGATGAAGAGCCCTGTCCTATCTGTCTAAAGGTGCCCCTGGGCATCTGCTAAAGGCAAGAAGGTAGGAAGCCCAGGGCATCACCTGTAGCAAGTCCTCCAAGCGGAGCGGACACTGGTGCTTGCTCTAGAGCCTGTGCTCTACCTGGAGAGACAAAGGGAAAGGAATACTACCCCAGGCTGGGTTCTAAAAGGGTTGCAGAAGTCACACACATCCAAATACTAGTGAGAGCTGACACTTACGGGACACTATGGGACACTTATGTAAGGACTCAGAGCTCTACATTCATTTCGCCCTCACACACTTTATGAAGCAGATGCCACCACCATACATATTTGAGAACTAGATAGGGCAGGACCAGGAAGCGATCTGCCAGAGGACACAGCAGGAAGGGCTGGCTGACCCCACAGCCCCTGCCTGCTCCAAGTCCACCACATCATCCAATCAGTGATGCACTCATCTAAAAGATACACCATGAAACGTAAGGTCACACGTTAGCATGTGAAAAATGTGCATCTTGGGGGGCTAAATGATCAGCTCCACTGGTTAGAGCACCATGTTGTAATGCCAAGGTCAAGTGTTCAGATCCCTGTACTGGACAACCGCCAAAATTTTTTAAAAAGTGCATCTTGGAATCTATGTGAAACATATCCACTGTCATGCAAGTCTGTGTCCCTGCAGAGATGTGTCCATAGGAACGAGCTAGGCAGAACCACAGAGCCATCCCTCGCTCCCTGCTCAGGACAAGGGGCTTGCATCCCCCCTTTCAGGTGGCCCATAACTCACCACGGCTTTGTGCAGTCTGCCAAACTCCATGTGGTTGGGAGTTAGAACAGCATTCTTGTAGCCTTGGATAAGGGCTGGCTGCTGAGTAACCAGCCACAGGCCATCCTGCAGAGAACAAGGATGTGCACTCACTAGACAGGCCTCCGAGGGCCCGGAGCCGTGAGAAGAGGAGAGGCCATACTCACCGCGTCCACAACGATGGGGATACCCCTGGCCTTTGATGCTTCCAAAATGCCCTGCCAGGAAAGAAAACTACGCTGAGCAACAAGGCCATCACCTCTGCCATGGTTTAAATTTTAAATGTCTGTCACCTCCAAAACTCATGTTACAATTTAACTGCCAAATGTAAGGGTAGTGAGAGTTGGAGCCTTTAAGAGGCACATGAAAAGACGCCCAACGTCATTAACCATTACAAAACCCCAACAGACACCACTGCACACCAACTGGGATGGCTACTAATTAAAATGACAGACACTAACAAGAGCTGGGGACAATGTAGAGAATCAGAACCCCCACACGCTGCCAGCGGGAAGGTAAACAGTGCAGCCACCATGGAAAACAGTGGCAGTTCCTCCAAATGAGAATCCCACTCCCCACCATACACCCAAGAGAAATGAGAACACATGTCTATAAGAAAAGGAACATAAAGGAACGATCACAGCAGCATTATTCGTAATAGCCAAGAAGAGAAAACAAACCAACTGTCCATCTAATGACTCAAACCAAATGTGGTCTATCTGTACAATGGAATATTAAACAGACATAAAAAGGAACGAAGGTCTAATACGTGCTACAATGTGGAAGAACTATGAATATGAAATGATGCTGAGTGAATAAAACAGTCAAGCGCTGCACACATTGTATGATCCCACGCATACGAGTCCAGAACAGGCAAACCCAAGCAGACAAAAGTAGATCAGTGGCTGCCAGAGGCTGGGAAGATTGAGGGGAACAGGGAGCAAATGCTAACGGGTATGGGGTTTCTTTTTGGGGTGAGAAAATGTTCTAAAATCAGTTGTGCTGATGATTGCACAACTCCATGAATATACTAGAAACCACTCAATTGTATACTTTAAATGGGTGATTTGCATGACTGGTAAATTGTACCTCAATAATGTTGTTTTTTAAAAGAAAAAGATAAACACCTCAGCAACTTACTTCTATAAGACCACCTTGGGGATATAATTTAATTTCTCTGGGATTCGATTTGAAAAACGAAGGCAAGAACAGACTTCTGTAGGGTTGTTTTCAAGACTACATCAGATAATGAGCTCGCTCAGAAAACACCCATTAAGTGCTGCTACATGCCAGGACTGCGCAGGGAGCTGGTAAGGGGGCAGCAGAATGCAGGTCTGCACCAGCTGGAACATGGGAAACGCTCAATAAATGCTAGTAAGCCATGTGGCTGTGAATGCTATTTTACATGCATGGCAGGGAAAAGAATCAAAAATAAAATTCCAAATGTGACCTCTGGAGTCTGGGCTGGAAGAGCGGTGGGGCACACCCTCACTTCCCATCCTTCACATTTCCACACTGTAGAGAGTATTTTTTCCTAAGGTATAAATTTTTAAATTATGAACCTAAATTTACAGAGAAAAGGACCTAAAGCACAGAGAACTCTAGCTTTTTTCACCTTAAATTCGTCCGATCCCTCTTGTTTTCGTTTTTCCACCCTGTAATCATCACCTCTTATTTCAGCACCTCAGGAAGCAGGACTGCCGGGAAGGGCTGCTGTGCAGGGCAGACTCCATCGGGTAGTCTCACAGGAGGGGCAGGCAGGCAAGCCTCAACTCGGGGTTGCCTTGCAGCTATAGACCTACGGACGCCTCCATCCCCACTATGTTCCCAAAAACCCTAATGGTTTCTTGAAGCAGACTACAGTTGGACCTGACGTCTCTGTGCCGATCACACTGCAGGTGGCATGATCAGCTCTGACTGAATCCTACTGCCTCACAGGCTCCCACTGAGGATGCCCCAGCCTGAATCTTGTAGTTGCCAGTACAGAACCTATCTATACCCACACCAAGATATGGAGCAATAAATATTCGCCAAGATCTAAGAATCAAGGACCTTAAGGGTATCAAAGGATGAGGATATGAGATGTCAAAAGATGTGTTGTGAGCCCTGCTCTGTTATCACCATGCGGGCCCAGAGGTTAACTGCCATCGTCATGAGGCTTTTCAGGACCAAACATTATGGCTCCATCCTGGAAGGAAACCCCCTTGGCCTCTACAAACCATCCAGAAAAGTGGCATGATCACCGCCAGCAGATCTTCTGTTACATATAGAGGCTGCACCCCTGCGGTGCAGAGGACAATCAACGCACTCTGCACCCCCAGACGGAAAGCCAGCACAGAGCAGCACAGCCCATTGGGCAGGTCTGCTGTTTACAATGGGATTCCCCTGACAGCTCCTCCCCCTGAACAACACTAGTGAAGGTTATAGCACTCCTGAACCTTGACCACGTCTTCTCAGCAAGCGGTAAAGACGTTCAAAGTTCTGAACAGTGCTGTCTGACAAACGACTTGCACCCCCATGCTAATTCCATGTCCCCTGGAAAACACAAGAATCCTACAGGCCTCTGTGTGCTGTGTGTCACCTGGAGCTACTGTTCCACTGTGTTTGACTGTAGCTCAGATTACATGCCCTGAATGTACACTGCTGGCTCCCTAACCACTTGCTCTTCTCTCAGCTCGCTCTTCTGAAAGGAACCCACAGCTGCCCACCCCCCATGCTTTCTGGTTGCAGCTGCCCATTCCAGAGGGAGGCTCCCAGCTCCCGGCAGGGCACCTCCCAGCTCCCCATGGACATCAGTCAGCGTCTTTCTTGTCACTGCCTTCCCAGTCTCCACAGTGCTCTCCTTTTCTTTGTTTAGAGAATTTTTATTAAAGAAAACTTTTAAATCCAAAGCAGTGGGAGACACATAGAAGAGAGGTATCTGCAAGAGTTCTCCCATTTCCTGAATGAGACGTTTAAGAGTTTAGTCTTTTGTGAAAGGCGTGTTCAGAAATCACATACGTTACCTTGACGTTTTCTAAAAGAGTGTCATCTCTGCCTAAGCCAGGTCCTATGACAAGGACATGCAATCGAGGGAGCCACTTTTCCACCTCATGAACGGCATCAGGGCTGTCACTAAGCAAGGAAAAGAAGAACAGAAAGGTATGCTTAAACATTTATTTACTTTTTAAAACATTTTATTTTTAAAAAGTAATTTAGACTTACAGAAAATTTGCAAAAACAGTACAGAAAGTTCTCACATACATTTCCCCAGCCTTCCCTCACATCAACATCTCACATACCCAGATTATCACAACTAAGAAGTAAACATTGGTTCAATACTATTAATTAATTTTTCAGATTTCACCGGTTCCCACCCATGTCCTTTTCCCATTCTAGGATCCAATCCAGACCCCACACTGCATTTATCTATCTTAATCTCCATAAACTGGTTTATTTTTTTTTAATGTCCCAGTTTAGATACCTATCTTTCAGCATTTAAAATAAGTTAGAATAAGACACTATGGCTAATATCAAAATTATCTTCGTCCTCTAAAATTAACCAGTTTTGTTTCCACCACATATACTTGTAGGTATAAAGGATATTCTGTATACTTATAAACAAAGACACACCTGACAAGTTATCTAAGACTCAAGCCACTGAGCCCGTCGTAGCACTGACGATACCCTCATTCAGAGTAAGACAGAGTTCTGCTGGTTTCCACCCCGCCCTCCTGTCCAGCCTCTGCTCTTAGACTCTTAGAACCTGCTCTGTAAGTCTTGTGTGCCCTGTGCTCCCACCAGTCCTCATCTTGGTTCAGAGTAAGACAGAGTTCTGCTGGTTTCCACCCCGCCCTCCTGTCCAGCCTCTGCTCTTAAGACTCTTAGAACCTGCTCTGTAAGTCTTGTGTGCCCTGTGCTCCCACCAGTCCTCATCTTGAGCTAAGCTACAGTGGCTTGGGCCCTTCTAGAACTGTCTGCAGACCGCTGTATCACTCGACTCTGGAACACCCCTCCTGCTTTCACTCTGCTCCCAGCCATCTGAGTGCGGGACCCCTGCCTACTCTCACTCCTTCACCTCGTCCTCAGCTCCTGGCTTTAAACACCATCCACATCTAATGACTCCCAAATCGAGGCCTTCTCTGATGCTCCACTTCTATCCAACACCTACTAGCCAAGTCCACTTGGGCGTATAGCAGGTAACCAAAAACACCCCCCAAACCCAAATCCTGATCTTCATCCCCACTCAAATCTACCCCCCACTTCCCATCACGTTAAATGACAACTCACTCAGACCAAACTCATAGTGGCATCTGGGCCACTTGCCTTTTCCATCCAATCTGCCAGCAAATCCTGGGGCTCTACTTTCCAAATATACCCAGAATCAGATCCCTTCTTGCCATTCTGACTGGACCACTTACCTATCACACCAGGATCCTTACAAGAGCCTCTAGCCCCGCCCCAAGAGCCTAGCCCCCACAGTAGCCTTTTATCACACCAACTGGGCCCTGCCCTTCCCCTGTGCATTTTAGCATGACCCCATGCCTGTGGCCCTGAGCCTCTCTGGTCACCCCAACATATCCACAGCACCCACCCTGAGCTCGGTGATGGCTCCTCCCTGTGTGTGGAAGCCCCCCACCCCCACGTGTCTCAGGGTTTTACCTGAAAGGCATTATCTGTGCTGCTGGAAGTTCTATGCACAGGGCTGCTCTGGGGGAGCCCCACGAGAGCAGAAGTTTGCTTGGCTCAATGCTGACCTCACCAAACCCAGAACACACGAAGGGTCTTGTTACTGCCTGGAAGGTCCACTGTTTTCTGCCATAAGCAGCCCTGTCCACACACAGGCCACAGACCTCCTCTGGACCTCGGACTCTCCAGCCACTCCTGACGGGACAGAGTACACATGAAGATGGCCACCAGTCTGGAGCCCATCAGGCTGGTGCCCAGGTCTCTTCTCTCGCCGTATCAACTGTCCATGTTCATCTTATTCTGGCCACAGAACAACGGACTCACTACAGTGTTCTTACTCCTTCTGACAGCACCCACTGACCAACACTGAGTACCCAGACACTTAACAGATGCTCTCAGTGCCAGTGTAAAACGCTACATGACTGAGCAAAGTTGCTGCAAGGAAAGAGAAGCCCTCACGCAGGCTGACTCACAGAACTGGGTGGACAATCAGTTCTGGGCTGTAGGACTTGATCACAGGCGCGGCCTCCCTGGCACAGAACACGTGGGATAAATCTGCACCCTGAGAAACAAGCACAAGAGGCTGACTCAGCTTGGGACTCACTCCACAGGCAGCACAGTGGCTTCAGGCATGATGGGCACCCACCTAGCAAGACACGTGATGTCCAACCACTCAAGAGACTCTGTAGTTACTACACATAAAGTACAGTAGTTAGGTCACAGCTCAGTGGCTTAGGAAAAGGAAAAGGAGCCTAAGAAAATGCCCAGAAAGTCAAGTCAGACTTCTGCTGCCACCTCAGAGCCAGAGCCAAAGCCACACAACACCAGCCCAGACCAGCTGGACTGGGCCATCCTCCCTATGGTTCACATGAAGTGCCATGGCCCCAGAGCCCAACCCACTCCACAGTCACTGCTCTGCTGAGCCGTGAGGACCTGATGAAATGCCTGAGACACTGCCATGTTTCAAAAGCATCAATTGCTTAAGCTAGGAACTAAAGAGGTATCCCAGCATCATTCTGGTGAAGTGTGATATGAATAAAACTTAAATGTTTAAAAAAATAAGTTTCAATTCAAGTTACTTTGTCATTGCACAGGAAGTCAGGTTAGATTTAATGGTGTTTTTATTACCTATTATTAGCATAAAATGTTATTTAGATTTCTATCAGAAAACATTTGCTTTAATCATATTAAAATAATCCAACTAGAAAAATCCCAATAAAGAAGTTTTAAATAAACATACCACTTTGAGAGCTGAGATTGCTGCAAAATATGGGGCTCCAGTGTACCTAAAAAAGATACTTAGAGTCAAAAACTTCTGAGAATAAGGCAAGCACACCTTGATTAATAATTAATAGGTTATCAATAAAAATTCAGAGACATAATACCGACACGAATTATCAATAACATATACAGACATGAAGCACACAACACAAACCCAACATCCAGCAGATGCTCAATAAGTGTTCAATAACCATGAATCAGAATTAGCAAAGTCAATCTTTTACATAAAACCTTTGTAGTATTTCAGGAGAGTCAAACTCCAGCTCAAGTGACCACAGTCTCCCTGTAACACGCTGGTTCCAGGTAAAGAGCTGAACAGTCAGCAGAGGCAGACAGGACCACCCAGGAAAAACAAGAGACCGTGCATTCTCCCAACTGTTTCCACCTCACCGCTGTCTACACTGTCACTTCCACAGCACCCACCGGCATGCTCCAAGTACAGCAGACACTCAACAGCTGCTCTCAGTGTTAGGGTCAACATGCTAACTGACTCAAGGTTTAACATTGCTTCAAACACAGAAAGGAGAGCTCTAGCCCTTGGCATCAGAAGAGCAACTTTTACGTCCATTCCAAACAGTGAAGGGTTTTACCAACCAAACTAAAACCAACTGGGCACAAACACTGAGCACTTTACACACATGACCTTCTCCTGCAAAGTGGNGCATTCTCCCAACTGTTTCCACCTCACCGCTGTCTACACTGTCACTTCCACAGCACCCACCGGCATGCTCCAAGTACAGCAGACACTCAACAGCTGCTCTCAGTGTTAGGGTCAACATGCTAACTGACTCAAGGTTTAACATCGCTTCAAACACAGAAAGGAGAGCTCTAGCCCTTGGCATCAGAAGAGCAACTTTTACGTCCATTCCAAACAGTGAAGGGTTTTACCAACCAAAGTAAAACCAACTGGGCACAAACACTGAGCACTTTACACACATGACCTTCTCCTGCAAAGTGGTGTCACCAAAGTGTCCTAAATGTAAAGGAAAGGACAAAATGGGCAACACACACACGCTGTCACCCCACAAAGTGAAGATGAGCCTCACCAATAAGAACAATGCATTAAAACAACAAGGAAGTTTGCCCACCAGACTAGCAAAGGCTGCTAATACTTACGAGGGGGGAGGGTGTTGGTGGTGATACACACTACTGCAACTGTGGGGGGCAATGTTCACCATAATTTAAAATGTATATGTATTTTAATTGAATAAAAATTCTTGTAGGAATCGATCCCTCGAAAATAAACAGATTGGTACAAAAGGATATATACGCATGGGGATATCCACAGTCAGTTTTTTTCATAGATGGCCAGTGTGGGGATCCGAACCCTTGTCGTTGGTGTTATAACACCACGCTCTAACTAACTGAGCACAGCCGTATTTTTTTTTTTCCTTTTTGTCTTTTTTCGTGACCGGCAACGGATCGCAACCCTCAGTGTCGCGCCCGCACCGGACCGGGACCGGCCACGGGATCGCAACCCTCGGTGTTGCTCCCGCCCCTCGCTCAGCCAGTGAGCGGCCGGTCTGTATGTGGGATCCGAACCCTCGGCGGGAGCGCCACCACACTTCCCAAGCGGCGCACTATAGCAGTGCGCCACCGGGCCGGCCCCACAGCCGTATTTTTAATTAAGAAAAAGCATAGCAGTAACCTACTGCTCTTCAATAGAGAATTGGCTAAATAAATTACAGCCCATCCTTATAGTAAATACCATACATCTACTTGTAAAGAAGTGGTCTATATGAACCAACAGAGAAATATCCATGATATAGTGTTAAGTGAAAAGGTCGGATCACTGAACAGTATATATATAACACAGTCCCGTTTTTGTAAAAAAAAAAAAAAAATAGTTACATGCATAAAAAAGTCTGGAAGGCTAAAAACCTGTCCATAATTTGCTATTATTATTGTTGTTGTTGTTATTGTTATGTGGGGTACTATGGGACTTTCACTTTTCACATTTCTGCAGTGTTGAATTTTTACAACAAGCAGATATTACTTATAATCAGAATAAAGATGTTTCTTCTTTTAAAGGTCAGTACCTAAAGCTGACATATCTTTTTTTTTTTTACAGCTGGCTAGTATGAGGATCTGAACCCTGGACCTGTGGTGTTACCAGTACCATGCTCCAACCAACTGAGCTAACCAGCCAGCCCCTAACTCATGCATACTAAGTTAGATAATTATACCCTAGAAAAGGATAAGGAGCTACACTACTGAACTTATCTGAAAAGAAAAACTGACAGCCCATTCTTCCCATGTAGACTTCCCAAAGATAGGGCAGGAGGCAGGGATTTGAGGAATCATATCCCTGACTCCTTCAACTCTCTCCACGGATAAGGACTGAAGGGCCCCAGTGAGCCTGTTGGCCCTGCATGGCCTGGTGGGGGCCATGTAGGTGGCCTCCAGTCCCAAGGTTGGGGGAGGCTGTCCCTTGAACCCAGGGTCCCAAAAGCAGAAGGGCAGCCTCTCTGTGCCTGAGAGTTCAGTCCCCTGGACGTGTTGCTCCTAGCTGATTCATAAAAGTGGAAGCTGCTGTCTTTCACCACCCAATGGGTCACCCACCCTGGAGATCTGACAAAGCCAGGAGCAAGCAGAGAAAGGCCCACCACACCTAACAAGGGGGTAAAGGGAGAGAGGGAGACCCTTGGGCAGAAAGAGAGAGGCCAAGCTGAGTGCCCAATATAGTAGGATAGATGCACAATGACACAGACGAGATGAACCTCAGGAAAAGTGGGAATGAAGAGTTCCAGCTTAAAAGATCAAGTGGAAGAACGTTAAAACAGAGCAAAATACGGGCCGGCCCGGTGGCGCACTGCTACAGTGTGCCACTTGGGAGCGCAGTGGCGCTCCTGCCGAGGGTTCGGATCCCACATACAGACCGGTTCCCGCTCACTGGCTGAGCGAGGTGCAGACGCAACACCGAGGGTTGCGATCCCGTTGCAGGTCCCGGTCCGGTACGGGCGCGACACTGAGGGTTGCGATCCGTTGCCGGTCACGAAAAAAGACAAAAAGGAAAAAAAAAAAAAAAAAACAGAGCAAAATACAAGGAGATGGAAACCTTAAAGGGAAATGCCAAAGCCCAGAGGACAGATCCAGCCCAGAGGACAGATCCAGGGATCCAACATGCGGGGGGGGGGCGGGGCGGAGAACAGACAAAAAGTAAAGCACCAGCAACAGAGGCAAACTTCCTTCATCCCGAGGGACTTAGACATACAAACACAAAGGGCTTAGCAAGTCTCAAGCAAAATTAATGAAAAGACAAAAACTGGACACATGCTGGAGAAACTGTGGAATTCTAAAGAAAAAGAAAATTTTACAAACATCTGAGCAAGAAGGACAAGTTACTTAGAAATGCAAGCAAACTAGATGAGCATCAGACTTTTAAGGAGCAAAACACAAACCAGAAGACAACTGATCACATGTACAGACTACCAAAAGAAAATGACTGCTGCTAACAAACCCCAGAGTCAGCCAAGACGCAATTCAATACACGTGCCACAGCAAAAGACACTGTGGATCTGCAACAACGCAGAGCATATCTCTCATGTACTCTGCCCTAAGATGCTGCAAGAAGTCAAAGCATTCCTACCCAATGACAAACTGTGAGGGAAGGCAGGAGAACAAACAGCAACCCATCTCTCAAAATACAATTAATCGGGGCCGGCCCGGTGGCACACTGGATAAGTGCGCCGCTTGGGAAGCGCGGCGGCGCTCC